GGGTCCTAGGTTGGCATAGCTGGGAATCTGATTCTCCACAAGGAAGACAGGATTTTGGGAGGCTTCCTGCTGCAACGCAATTGTATGGAGTCTGCATGGAACAGAAGGGGCCAGGGCAGAGAGGAAATGGCACGTGAGGCGATTCTGAGAGGTTCTTCGCTGCAGTGTGTGAGGTCCAGGGAATAGCTGAGGGGTGGAGATGCCAGTGTGACTCCACAGGATGCTGGTGACTTCTGTGCATAAAATGGAGGAAGGAAAGAGGGAAGAAGTCAGCGTCAACTAGACAAATAAATAAATAAAACAGCGGTTCTCAACCTGAGGGTCGCCACCCCTTTAAGGGTCGAAGGACAGTGGGAATGCACAGACATTCACACTGCGACTCAGAAAAGCACAATGACAGTTGTGAAGTAGCAACAAAATAACGTTATGTTTGGGGTCACCACAGCATGAGGAACTGTATTAAAGGGTCGCAGCATTAGGAAGGTTGAGAGCCACTGAAACAAACAAACAAATATTAGCCCCTGGGGGAGAGGAATGTGAGCGACGTAAGTCCAAGTTAGGGAAGGAAGATCATAAAGCTTTGTGTAAAAGTCCAGAGACTGTAGCCATTGTCATTCACTTGGCTGAGGTAGACTCTTGTGGCTCCGTTAAACAGAGATGGATATCGAGTGTTGTTGAGGAAACCCTGTCATGCCTGGGATTTGAGGTAAAATTCTCCATGCAAGTCCAAAGATGGTGAGGATAATGATGTAAGCCAAGTCACACACACAGACACACCATACACACAGGCATATCATGCACACACAGACATGTCATACACACACACACACACACACACACACGCCACACACACTGACATATGTGCACAGACTTATCATACACACACAGACATACACAGAGACACAACAGAAACAACCACACACATATACACAGCACACACACAGCACACACACATATATACAACAGAGAGACACAGACACACACAGACACACTACACACACACACATACTCAGCATACACACAGAGACACACATATACACAACACAGAGAGAGAGAGAGAGAGACAGACACACACACACACCGAGGCCACAGTTCCATAGCTAGAGCCAAGATCCTAACCCCAGACTTAACTTCTGTTTCTTCCAGTTGGTCCTCCCTGAATGTCCCTAAGTACTAACTGCTGACACCGCCTTTATTAGGCCTTCTTACCACTCACCTCCAGAGCTGCAGGACCTCTCACTGCCCACTTGTCCTGCCTTGTATCCATCAGATGGATCCAGCTACCTCATTAAAATCACTGCTGTGGGCTAGGTGAACAGATAACACATGAGGTCGTCTGCTGGCTGCCTCTGCTGAAGCCCCCAGAAGCCCAGCCTGTAAAAGGGTAAATCCCCTTCCCTGGGCAGCAGCTGGCCAGCTGCTGAGGCTTCAGGTCATTGAGGCAAAGGCCCAGCAGACTAACCTTTGAATAAGCTCTAGGAGGTTTCTAAAGCCTGTTGATGGAGCCTGTTAAAGTAGCCAGCTGCAATACTCAGAATCAATGGGGATCTGTGGGAAAGACAGTTACAGACTTTTGCTGGTCTCCTTACAAATGATCAGATCAGTCTTTTGGAGGGCAGCATCATGTGCTTACAAGTCTTTTATGTCCTTACGTTTGTTAACTGCCTTTGAAGGTACTCTTCCACGATAGCCCCACCCCCATCACATTGCAGAACGTGCCCATGTTTAAAGCTAACACACGAATTCCCAGTCTTCCAGACAATCCTCCTTCCTCCCTCCTTATACTTTCCCAAGTCTGTAAAGGCAACTTCAGGCTTAGTTTCTCAGTTACACCCTGACCCCATTGACCTTACCTTTAAAATTCTTCCCATCCGGGGTTGTAGCCCTTGAACATGGCTGATCTCTTCTAAAATACCCCTGAGAGGCTGGAGAGGTGGCTTAGGTTAAGAGCACTTGCTGCTCTTGCAGAGGACCGGGGTTCAGTTCCCAGCACCGACATGGTTCACAACCTCCTGTAACTCCAGTTCTGGGGTTCCAACACCCTCTCTGGTCTCCACAGGACAGCACATGCATGACATACATAAACTCGTGCAGGCAAATATACACGTACATAAATAAAATTAAAACAAAAGCCTCCTCTCGAACGTGAACTTTGACCACTTCTTGCCAGCTGGGTCTGGTTCCTAGCATCTCTTGCTGGGGTGATCCAGGTGACCATGTTTGCAGAGGCAGCCTTGTGTTAGCAGAGCCAAGGAAGGTCCCTTTCAGACCTTCGGAATCCTGAAGCCCGTTCATCCAAGCGGCTGCTCATTTCCTTCTCTCTTGGTAGAAATTCTTGCATCAGTCTGAGAGGATGACACAGTGTCGCTTCCCAGCCTACTGTGGAGCCTGAGGCAGAGGATCGCTTGAGCCCAGGCGTTCAAGACCAGCTTGAGCAACAGAGTGAAGCCCTGCCTCCGTTTTTTTTCCATTGCGTATTTAAGTGTGCAGCATTAGTGGTAGCACTGGAAATGTCATACCAGAGGTCCTGGTCTGTATTTACCGCAGGGCTAGTGGCCTTGTCAGGAACACACAGTCCCTGTTAGGAACACCAGCTCACGAGATACAGAGCTGACTCCCTTGCCCTGTGCTCTGCAGTCAGAAATGGAGACATTTACATTGAATGAAAGCTTGGCAGTTGGGATTATTTCACAACATATTTTTTAGTGCTGGAGAGATGGCTCATCGGTTAAGAGCACACACAATTCCCAGACCCGGTGTTGGGTGACTCACAGCCACCTGCAACTCCAGCTCCCCTGGGATCGATGGCTCTGGCTTCCATGGCACCATTACTCATGTGCGTATACACATACAAGTAAAAGTAATGAAAATAAACTATAAAAATAATGCTAATAATCAAAGTATATTCATAATACAGTTTATTATCACATCCTAGGATGCTATTTGGTATCATGTGTCATCCAGCAGTTCTAACTTGGGGCCGTATCTCTAAGGATCAGTAAACTTTTCCTTGAAGACCTTGACAGAGAATGTTTAGGTCGGGTGGTCCACAGGGTCTCCTACAATGGTTTAAACTGACAGTAAACTTGGCCATCACAGTGAGAAAATGGCCCGAGACCTACGCAAATGAGCGTGTTTGTGGTCTAGCCAAACATCATTTATGAAGACTGATGTTTGAATTTTAGTATAATTTTCTCATGCTATGAAACACCATTTAAAAAGGTAAGAATTAGCTAGGTGTGGTGGGGCACTACTGTAATCCAAGCACCCAGGAGCCAAAGTAGGAGGAACATGGACTGGCTTGGGCTACAGAGTAAGTTCCAGGCTAGCCCGGAGCTCATAGTGAGACCCTGTCTCTGCTTGATGAAGAACTTTCAAAAAGGTAAAACCATTCTTTTAGCACACTGGCCTTTCAAAAAGAGGGGCAGCCTGAATCTGGCCCAGACTCCATGGTCTGCAGAGCCGGGGCCCGCAGTAGCCCAGCCCCGCAGTAGCCCGGCCCCATGGTAGCCATGCCATGGTGCTGCACTGGGTTGTATTCTCTGTGCAGTGTTGTCAGCCTTGTGTGGCTCGTGTGACTGAGAAATTGAAGGTTTGATATTATTTCATTTTAATGTGGATTTTAGTTTAAAATTTTTTTTCCTAGACAGGGTTTCTCTGTGTAGTTTTGGTGCCTGTCCTGGATCTCACTCTGTAGACCAGGCTGGCCTCGAACTCACAGAGATCCTCCAGACTCTGCCTTCCGAGTGCTGGGATTAAAGGCGTGCGCCACCGCCGCCCGGCTAGTTTAAATTTGAACATCCCCTGTGGCCAGCATCCACCACATTGGGCGTCACTCATCCATGGAAGTCTTGTGCAGGAGACATGGGTGGAAATGCTTCCTGCCACATGTTCACAGGCAGCGAAAGGCCTGAAACTGTGCCGTGTGCAGAGTGGAGAGCGACTTTAGTAATGGCCATATTTGCTGAGTGCTTTCTGTATGCCAAGCAAGGTTTTAAGCACTTTACAGGTTTCAACTCACTAGATTCTTACTGTCTGTCACTCAAGAAAACAGATAAGCCACAGACTCATACATCAGTGGGGACAAATGAGCTCTAGGTCATGGGGTTGTGTGAAATTGAAGGCACAAAAACCACATTCCATGTTAATGCTATGTTTAAAACCTTAAAGACAAGCAAAATGAAACAGTATTTTTTTCAGGGAAAATTATATGGTAAAACCACTTAAAAGAAGGGGCATTTCTGTAAGGCTGTAGTCCCAGAAATGGCATCTAGTCTGTGGTGGGCACGGGGTGGCAGGCTGGGTTGGTGCTGACTAGGTGACATCTTGTCGTCACAGTGGTCCTCAGTGCATGGCTGACCTAGGTCTGTTCCCTGAAGAGGCACTTCTGCCCGTTGCTCTGGTCATGTACTTAGACACAGTTTACCAGTGGGAGCAAACACTCAAACCCTTAGCTCCAGAGTTTTGTTTCAGTAAAGCTAATGTTGAATGTTTCTAGAATCTTATTTAGAGAACTTGGTTTAAAAATAAGAATACAGGTCAGACGTGGTGGTGCAAGTCCTTGATCCCGGCACTCAGGAGGCAGAGACAGGTGGATCTCTGTGAGTTCCAGGCCATCCTGGGCTACACAGTGAGACAATGTTTCCAAAACAAACAAATGAGAACACATAGGTTTACTTACTGCCATCCACACTGTCATCCACGGAAAGGTCCTAAGGACACTGGGGTGTCGGGAAACCCTAACAGCATTCCACCAGTGTGTTCCCCAGAGTGAGTTCAAGAGCAGAGTTACGTAATAGCTTTTGGTAAGTAGGGTTCAAAGTGGCCGTGGGGTCGAGGACCAGGCTTCTCCTCCGTCACGTTCGGGCAGCTGTGTCCTCAGTGTGTGTTAGTGACGTGTCGAGCTTCTCTAAGGAATGTGTTGCATCTTTGACGATTTCCTTGTTCCGTCTTCCGTCTTTCCTGAATTACTGACATGGGTTTATCTTTTCTCCCTTTAGAGAGTTTTGAGGTGACAGTCACCAAAGAAGGTGATGAAGGGTTCTTTGTCTTCCTCTCATGACTATTAACCCACTAACTTGTTTATAAAATTGGGAATCAGCCGTTAAACAGAAGCAACTGCCATGCCATTTCCCCGTTTACTCTCCTAGTTTTGTTTTGTTTTCTTTAAGTGTATTTATGGAAATTGTATGTAACCAGACCCTTGGTTAGAAATATCTGGAACTCAGACATCCATTTGAACTACATGCACAGGACCACGTGTTTGTTTACTTTAGCTTGCTGGGTATCATTTTTCTATTCACTGGACTCGTGGAAATGAGCAGTCTTATTTTTATGTGAATAATCTTATAGCTTCCTGTGTGCATCTGAACGTTAAACTTGCTCTCCCACGGACAAGCATGGAGCCATGGATCTTTCTAATCAGGACAGTTTAGCTGTAGTGAAGTTCCTGGCTGGTATCCCTCTGAGGTTTGGTAAAGCCCGGAACTAAGGAATCTTAGCAGACCCCTCCCTCCCTGTAGTGGATGTCAGCCGTTGAAATGGATGTCTGAAAACTTGGTATTTCTACCCCTCTTAGCAGTTTGTTTTGATTCCCTAATTTTAGCCAGGCTCATTGCACAGGAAGACTTGATCTTTTTTTTCCTTGACAGAATTTCTGTAATTGTGATGCTGGTCCCACATGTCACACTTCTACTCTCAACGCTTAACTGTGCATTTTACCCTCTCTCTGGTCCAAACCCAAAGAGCTGCCCAGTGCTCGGGTGGCCTGGGAGTCTGGTGTGCTCAGGCCTTGGCTGTTGCTTATGAGACTCCTTTTATCCTGAGCCATCTAAGTGCTCCTGTGGAATGCCTGTCTATGTCTCTCTCTTGTATCCCTGCATGAATGGATGCAAAGTAAACCAATTGCTTGGAAAGCCAGAATCCGCTTCTAATAAAGCCCCAGAACTCACCCGTGTTACAGCACAGTGTCCCCGCTTTGTCCACGGACCCTCCGAACCCCCTGGCTGCTAAGTGGTTGTTGTCTATTTCTTTGGGGGTGGAGGGCATTGTGCGGAAGGTTCAGTGGCAGACACACCAACGTGTTCCGCTTTACTCCCCAGGTGAGATTTGTGGCTTTAAAATCCACGGGCAGAATGTCCCTTTTGATGCTGTGGTAGTGGATAAGTCCACGGGTGAGGGGGTAATCCGCTCCAAAGAGAAGCTGGACTGTGAGCTTCAGAAAGACTACACCTTCACCATCCAGGCCTACGACTGCGGGAAGGGACCTGACGGCACGGGTGTGAAAAAATCTCACAAGTAAGTGGGCTGGACAGAGGGCAAAGGGCACCGCCCGGGAGATGAGTGTGCGTGGGGAGTGACAGCCCGGACCTGCAGGGTCACAGAGGGGTTGTGAGGGCCTTTGAGGTGGGACTCCAGCCTGTGTGTCCTCTTTTGTGTCCAGCTTCTAGGAAGAGACTGATGGGTAACAGGTTTCAAAAAGGAATGAATGGTTTTATCCCACTGAGTATTCTTGGTAAAGAAACCAAAGCTCCACCAAAACGGTGGCTCGTCCTGTTACCAAGGCACTTGGAAGGCTGAGGTAGTCAAGGACAGCCCGGGTAACGAAGCAAGACCCTGTCTCTCTTGGGGGCGGAGGTGGGGTGGGGTGGGCAGAACAAAGACAGACACATATGGACACTCACACTCACACTCCTACTCATGCATGGCCCTATGTTGAACTTTTTCCTGAGGAAAATGATTTTGTTACTCTTTTTTTTTTCCCCTTCGAGACAGGGTTTCTCTGTGTAGCCCTGACTGTCCTGGATCTCATTCTGTAGACCAGGCTGGATCTGCCTGCCTCTGCCTCCTGAGTGCTGGGATTACAGGCATGCACCACCACTGCTGGGCTGATTTTGTTATTATCTTTTCCTGTAAACTAGTGAACTCTGTGATTGTGTGTGGAGTCCACACACCTGCCAGCTGAGAGCTTCTAGAACCCTCTCTGATAGCATGAGGCTCTCAGCTGGCAGAAGGGGTGTGGACTCCACACACAATCACAGAGGGATACCAGCCGGGAACTTCACTACAGCTAAACTGTCCTGATTAGAAAGAGCTCCCATGGCTCCATGCTTGTCCGTGGGAGAGCAAGTTTAACGTTCGGATGCCTCTTGAGCTCTGAGATTACAGAGGCGCCACCACTGGCCTCACGTTTTTGTGGCGCTGGGGCTCAGAACTCCATCTTCAGACTTGTGTGGCAAGTGCTTCATCCCCCGAGCCTTCTGTCTACCTCAGGATTTGTTTTAACTCAATAATGAGAACTTTTCTCTATTTTTTTTAAAACAGGAAGCAGAGAGAGAGAGAGAGAGAGAGAGAGAGAGAGAGAGAGAGCGCTATATTTTATGTGTGTTTGTGTTTTGCCATGGATGTTGGGGTCCCCTGAAACTGGAGATACAAATAGGTGTGAGCCACCATGTGGTTGCTGGGAATTGAACTTGGATCCTCTGGAAGAGCAGCCAGTGCTCTTAACCCCTGAGCCATCTCTCCAGCCCCCCTTTTCTCTGTTTCCAACCCTTCTTCCTTTGGCTGTGAGTTTTTAAAATTCTTTGATAATGTATCTTAACCTTATGACCAGAGAGTCAGTACGTGTTTGATGACTTCATCTCCCTCTTTGTGCCCCACCCCACTTTGAAAGAAAATTCAGTCTCTTTAGTTACATCACTGATTTTCTAAATCTGCTGCCTTACTTTTAGGGCATAGAAAAATCAGCCCAAGTCCCGATTTTAGCTTCCCCGTGACTCCATGCCAAACTAAAAGGAATGTAATTTCGTTTATATTTTGGCTTCATTGTAGGAAGCTCATGAAACAGTATCAGGAAAAGGATATTTAGAAATTGGCAGAATTGTCGCCTTTTGGGTGAAAGACAGAACCAAACCCCCTCAACAGCTTCCCCTTCTCGTCTAGAGCAACTGTCCACATCCAGGTGAACGACGTGAATGAGTACGCACCTGTGTTCAAGGAGAAGTCCTACAAGGCGGCCGTGGTGGAAGGGAAGCAGCATAGCAGCATCCTCAGGGTGGAGGCGGTGGACGCAGACTGCTCCCCTCAGTTCAGCCAGATCTGCAGCTATGAGATCCTCACCCCAGACGTGCCCTTCACGGTGGACAAGGACGGTAAGGACAGAGGGGCCTGGTGTGTCAGTGAGGCCGGTGGCCCCAGAGGCCTGGCCCGTCTAATGAGATCAGCTGGTGACCTGGGCTTCCAGTGCTCACAGAGCACCAGTGAGCCTGCAGGCTGCCCGGAGCCCTGCCTAGTGCCTGTGACTTATGTTTGACTCAACTCCCTGGTCTGACAGCTTCTCTGGAAGTCTGGGCTCCCGGGAGCTCTTTCTCCTTTCCTACCCAAATCGAGTAAAGGCCTCATTTGACATGAATCTTCTTGCTGTGACTTATGTGCAACAACTGAGTGTGTTGTCCCTTTAGTTAGACGTAGTTTTAGTTCTCCGTGTGATTAGAACCTTTTACTCCTCCCCACCTTTGGTGATGCTGAGGATCCAGTCCAGGGCTTCGTGCATGTTAGGCAAATGTTCTCCCACTGAGCTACATATACCTCTAGCCCCTTCTGCCCTATCCTAAAGGTGAGTGTTCATTCATTCATTCATTCATTCTTCTTCTTCTTTTTTTTTTTTTTTTTTTTTTTTTGGTTTTTTGAGACAGGGTTTCTCTGTATAGCTTTGCGCCTTTCCTGGAACTCCCAGGCTGGCCTCGAACTCACAGAGATCCACCTGTTTCTGCCTCTCCAGTTCTGGGATTAAAGGCGTGCGTCACCACCACCCGGTTCATTCTTTCTTTTAAAGAATTATTTTTAGTTCTATGTCTCTGTGTGGGTATGTGCACGTGAGTGCAGGTGCACACAAGGCCCTGGAGCTGGAGTTAGAGGCAGTTGTGAGCCACTTGCTCTGGGGGGTCCTTGGAATGGAACTGCCATCCTCGGGCAGGGCAGTGTGTGCTCCTAACTGCTGAGCCATCTCTGCAGTCCTCGGTCTTTTATTTTTGAGACAGACTCTTCCTGTGCAGCCTAGGCTGGCCTTACATTTGTCATCCTCCTGCCTCGACCCTCTGATCTCTGGAATCATAGCTAAGATGAGGATTTATGCCGTATACTTCTGCCAGGACCTTTATTCCTGAGTAATTGACAGGAACAACACAGGAGCTCAGTGTAGCTAGAGTTTTCCTGCCTGGCCCACAGTCAGGACAAATCTCTCACCCGCCAGTCCCACAGCCGCTCAGACCCAATCAAGTAAACACAGAGACTTATATTGGTTACAAACTGTATGGCCGTGGCAGGCTTCTTGCTAACTGTTCTTATAGCTTAAATTAATCCATTTCCATTAATCTATACCTTGCCACATGACTCGTGGCTTACCGGCATCTTCACATGCTGTTTGTCATCGTGGCGGCTGGCAGTGTCTCTCTGACTCAGCCTTCCACTTCCCAGCTTTATTCTCCTCCTTGTCCCGCCTACACTTCCTGCCTAGCCAATGGCCAATCAGTGTTTTATTCATTGACTAATCAGCAACACATTTGCCATACAGAACATCCTACAGCAGCTCAGCTTCTTTGTGTGGCGATTCTTTGTTGTCGTTGTTCTTTGTTGGTTTTCGAGAACAGGCTTTTCTTTGGAGCCCTGGCTGTCCTGGAGCTCACTTCATAGACCAGGCTGGCCTTGAACTCAGAGATTCTCCCTGCCCCTGCCTTCCTAGTGCTATGATTAAAGGCATGTGCCATCACTGGCCAGCCCTGGGAAGAACTTCTTAATGTCTCCATTACAAATTAATGCACACTGTAGTCTTTGATGGAATTGTGGGTGTGTGAGACTCTGGGGCTGGAGAGATGGTTCTGTGGCTGCAGCACTTGATGCTCGTGGAGAGGACCTGGATTCAGTGTTCAGCGCTCACATCTGGCTGCTTACAACTACCTGTAACTCAGGTCCAGGGGATCCAACCCCCTCTTCTGGCATCTAAGGGGACCAGACTTGCGTGTGGTTTACATACATACATACATGCAGGTACTCACACATGCACACAAACTAAAAGCAAATCTTAAAAAAAAATACAGACACAAATAAATAAATAAATAAAAACTACAGACATCTGCACTCACATTAGAACAGAAGGATGCCTCTTTCTAAGCGAGAGGATCAAGAAAGGAGTTCTCTCCCTCCCTCTCCCTCCTACCCCTCCCTTCCCTTCCCTCCCTTCCCCTTCTTCTCTCTCTCTCCCTCCCCCTCCCTCCCTTTTGGTGCTAGGATAGAATCTGGGGTCACAAATGTTAAATCTGTGTCCCACTGAGTCATACCCCAAGCCTAACCTTAGTTGTTTATGATTTGTTTGTTTGAGAGAAGATGGAATTTCTTGTAGTCCAAGCTAGCTCTGAATTTGGCATGTGGCTCAGGATGACCCTGAACTTTTCATCCTCCTGCCTCGGCCTCCCGAGTGCTGGGATTACAGGCGTGCACTAGCACTCTTGGTTTATGGAGTGCTGGGGATCAAAACTAGTACTGTATTCACCAGCTGAACTAGTACTGTATTCACCAGCTGAACTAGTACTGTATTCACCAGCTGAACTAGTACTGTATTCACCAGCTGAACTAGTACTGTATTCACCAGGTGAACTAGTACTGTATTCACCAGCTGAACTAGTACTGTCATTCACCAGCTGAACTAGTACTGTCATTCACCAGCTGAACTAGTACTGTCATTCACCAGCTGAACTAGTACTGTATTCACCAGCTGAACTAGTACTGTATTCACCAGGTGAACTAGTACTGTAGTCATTCACCAGCTGAAGCAGATCCTCAGCCCTCAACTTTTTCCCTTTAACATAATTAATCTCTCAGCAGAAGTATTTAATGAAGCCTGGCCTCATTGTTAGTATTTGAGGTATTTAAACTGTTTGTCTTTTTTTATTCTTACATGCAAAGTAGTAAGTGTTACTGTAAAATCAGGTCAGCAAAGTGGCCCAGGCAGAAGCACCTGCCACGTAAACCTGATGACAATCCCCAATACCATGGTGCAAGGAGAGAACTTAATTCCAAAAGATGTCCTTTGACCTCCACACATGTGAGGAAGCACATACGTACCCACACATACACCCGAATAAAAATGTGTTTAGAAAGCTGGCTGTGGGGCTGGAGAGATGGCTCAGCGGTTAAGAGCACTGGCTCCTCTTCCAGAGGTCCTGAGTTCAATTCCCAGCAACCACATGCTGGCTCACAACCATCCGTAATGAGATTTGGTGCCCTCTTCAGGTTAAAAGAACACTGTATACATAATAAATCTTTAAGAAAAAAAAAAATTTTTTTTTTTAAGACTAGTGTAGAAACTCCAGGAGTAAGTGGATGGCTGGCTATGTGGATTCAAACTGGGCTTGACCACTTGAGTGTGGACTCGTGAGGGAAGAAGAAGAAATGTTGTGATCTCAGGACTGAGTGTATTTCAGGTTGTGTCAGTCTAGCGTAGCACAGGTAAAGATGGTTCTCATCGTTGTTCTCCTCCTCTGCCAGGTTATATTACAAACACAGAGAAGCTAAACTACGGCAAAGAGCACCAGTATAAGCTCACCGTCACGGCCTATGACTGTGGGAAGAAAAGAGCCACAGAGGACGTTCTGGTGAAGATCAGCGTCAAGCCCACCTGCAACCCTGGGTGGCAAGGTGAGCTGTAGTCTTGTCTGCTCCTACGTCCGTCCTGAAAATGTACGTGCCATAAAAACATAAGCATGAGCTGTCTTTTTCTCTCCTGCACCCATCCGTGGGCCAACACAGGCTGGAGCAGCAGGATTGAATATGAGCCAGGCACTGGTGCTCTGGCCGTCTTCCCGAGCATCCGCTTGGAGACCTGTGATGAGCCTGTCGCCTCAGTGCAGGCCACAGTGGAGCTGGAGACCAGCCACATAGGGAAAGGCTGTGACCGAGACACCTACTCTGAGAAGTCCCTTCACCGGCTCTGTGGTAAGGAGGCCTGGTGTCTGCAGCCCTCAGTCTTCGGGAAAGGCGGGAGCCCATAGGACCCTGGCCCCCGTGTCTTGGTCTGTAAAACGATAAGCAGCAGAACAAACACAATGTTCTGAAGTGGCCTTTGCTGCCTTGCTGGCTGGTTTTCATTCAGGATGGGCACCAGGGGATGAGTACATACCCTGCAGAATCTATTCGGAATGCCGTGTGTGTGTGTGTGTGTGTGTGTGTGTGTGTGTGTGTGTGTGTGTGTGTGTGCACTGAAGAGCCCATAATTTGAAGAAAGTAACATACCCAAGTATGAATGATGTAAGAATAAGGAACTGGGCTTGGGAATGTGCCCTGCAGCCCAGCTACTCAGAAGGTTGAAGCAGGGGATCATTTGAACCCAGGAGTTCTGGTCTAGCCTGGGCAATACAGGGCACACTGTTTCAAAGGCACATGCTTTTGCTAATGCATGAGGCTCAATCCCCAACACCAGGAAGAAAGAGCAAAATTCTTAACCTGACAGCTGTAAAATCTCTCTATTCTTTTTTAAATTGCATTTATTTATTTTATATGTGTGGGTACCTGTGTGCCACGGCGGTCTGTGGAAGTCAGAGGGTAGGTAACGTGGTCATCGGTTTTTTCCGTCCTGGGGATTGAACTCAGGAGTCAGGTTTGGTGTCTGGTGCTTTTTACCAACGCTGGGCTATCTCCCCATCTCCCTCTCCCTGCTCTTTGACTCAGTAATTGCAACTCTAGGAGTTTATCCTGAGCTCAGAATCCTCGCACACATAGGTGCTCACTGAGGAGATGTGTGAGTGTGTAAGGAAGGTGGGCACTCAGTGCCCACCGGGGAGGACCAAGAAGTTCCGTGGTGTCTGCTGAAGGAGGAGGAGAATATATGTACATACTGCAGCCACAGCAGGACTCCAGTTAATTGAAAAACACTGTGTGAGCTGGAGGTGACTCGGTGGTTAGGCACGCTGGCTGTTCTAGGTTTGAATCCCAGCACCCACATGGCAGCTGACCGCTGTCTGTAACTCCAGTTCCAGGGAGTTACGCCGCCTTCTGACCTCCTTGGGCATAAGGCGTCCATGTAGTGCACAGACATACATGCAGAAAAAACACTTGTACACATAAAATCAAAACAAACAGACAACTTTATGGGCTAGACAGACGGCTCAGTGGGTAAAGCAAGTATGAGGACCAGGGTTCAGATCCCCAGAACCCACTAAATGCCAGGTGGGTGTAGTGGCCCACCTGTAATTCTGGCTTAGTAGGAGACAGGTGATCCATTGAGCAAGCTGGCTAATGAGACTAGTCATATGGGTAGCTCTGGGTTTGATTGAGAGACCCTGCCTCATTGAGTAAGGTAGAGAGGTATTTGAGGATGATTCCTCCACATGTGTGCACACCCATACACGTTTGCCCAGACACATGCCAACATGCACGCACACACAAGCACACACCACTAACATATAAAAATGAAAAAAATACTTTATGTATTCATTAACAAAGGGCTAGAAGTGTTTATACACAAAAATGGTGTATATTTGGGTGGGAGCGTAAGAAGTTACTTTGTTGTTGTTTGTTTGTTTTGAGACAGGTCTCACTACATAGCTCTGGCTAGCCTGGAACTCACAAAGATCTGCCTCTGCCTCTGCCTCTGCCAGTGCATGGAACTGAGCCTTGTGTCTCTGTGGTTTCAGGGGCTGCTGCTGGCACCTCCGAGCTGCTTCCTTCCCCAAGCAGCTCCTTGAACTGGACTGTTGGCCTCCCCACCGACAACGGCCACGACAGCGACCAGGTCTTTGAGTTCAATGGCACTCAGGCAGTGAGGATCCCGGATGGCATTGTGTCCCTTGACCCCAAAGAGCCCTTTACTATTTCTGTGTGGATGCGGCATGGGCCTTTTGGCCGGAAGAAGGAGACGATTCTCTGTAGTTCAGACAAAACAGGTTGGTTGTGCCGCTGGACCTTCTTCAGTGTCCCCTTCCAGAGACTAGTTCCTCATAGATACTGCTATTTTATGCTGGGGACACTGTCCTCAGAGAGACAGCACCAGCATAGGGGACTTATTAATTTTACTCCGTGGATTGTCCTGAGTTCTCAGTAAAACGCGTGTGTTTGTTCCTAAACCCTGTCTTGGTCCAACTAGAGGATTCATTTATGCAGATAAACGTGTCTTTAAATCCATTCAGGAAACAGTTCTTACTACCCCAGGGACCTGAAGTTGGCAGTTTACCCATAGATGCTGTCTTTGCAGATATGAACCGACACCATTATTCGCTGTATGTCCATGGGTGCAGACTCATTTTCCTCCTCCGTCAGGACCCGTCTGAGGAGAAGAAGTACAGACCTGCAGAGTTCCACTGGAAGTTGAACCAGGTGAGTAAATGGAACACCTCGCCAGGTGTCGTCATATCTAGGGATGTGACAGCCTGCGGGACATCATGCTTTGTGCATCTGTTGGTTACAGGATAGCAAATCGGGTCCACTTAACTCCTTCCCACCAAAGCCTACCTTTCCCCCATGTGCACTTTATGAGCAAAATAATAACATAAATATTATCTTCTTTTTGGGCCAGAAGGACTCACCAGGTGTAAGGGTCTTGCCACAGCTTGACAACCTGATTTTGATCCCCAGAATGCACGCCCATGATGGAAGGAGAGAACTACCTCCCACAAGTTGTCCTCTCATGTGTATACATGTTGTGGCATGTGTGTGCACACATGTTGTGGCATGTATGTACACACACATATACATACATTCAAATGTAAAAAAGAATATGTGTTTTAAACTGAAAATACAGTTATGATCTGTTGAAATAGAGTGCCGTCTGGGGTGATGGCAGTGAAGCCCTCATGTTTAACTTACCCTTCACTGTTAGAGCTACACCAAGGACTGCTAGGCTGAGTTAGCAGTTCAGAGGTACTGGGATGCCTTGAATATTCAAGTAGCTACAATCTTCATATCTTTCAGATGCCACACAGACTGCTAGCTCAAGGTAGCTTATGGCTCTGGCAGAGACCACATAGCATTCTTGGTGATGTTGTGTAGGCAGAAGTTTCTGTGTCTGGCCAGCAACTCCCAAATACCTGGCAGCTGCTTCCCAAATAATTGATTCAGAGGCTTAATATTACTTATAAATGTTCAGCCAGTAGCTCAGGCTTATTACTAGCTAGCTCTTACACTTAAATTAACCCATAATTCTTATCTATGTTTAGCCACATGGCTTGGTACCTTTTCTCAGTACAACATTCTCATCTTGCTTCCTCTGTGTCTGGCTGGTGACTCCTGACTCCGCCCTTCCTCTTCCTAGAATTCTCCTAGTCTGCTCATCCTACCTATACTTCCTGCCTGGCTACTGGCCAATTAGCATTTTATTAAACCAATTCGAGTGATAGGTCTTTATAGTGTACAAGAGCATTATCCCACAGCCATGTTGTGTCTTTGGGGAGCTGATTTTCCTGCATCCCTGTAACAAGCACTTGGGAGGAGGGCTGCTGTTAAAATACCTCTGATAAGGAGATGGAGCCAGTGTGCGCTGTAAACTGAGAATCAAAACAGCTTGCCAAGGAGAGTGACTAGAAGCGAAAGCTCTGACCTTAGCTGAGAGGACTTGGCTCATGGAGTTAGGGGCAAAGGCTGACAGATCATTAGATGGGCTGGGTTTGCTAAAATGGAACAGTCTGAAACAGTTTTGAGATCCATAAAGGGCCAAGGTGTACATGAGACTGGAATACAACCTGTGATTTGCCTTTCTTTCTGGGGTGGTTTTTATTTACATAAATAGTCCTTTCTCAAAAACTCTTACCATATTTTCCCCAAGGAACTAGAGAAAAGTATGCTGTAGAAAAAAATAACTTGCAACATACGTGGGTTCAATAACCAGCTGTTCATCCCCCCTGCAAAAAAAAAAAAAAAAAAAAAAAGAGAGAGAGAGAGAGAAAGAAAAGGAAATAGAACAGTAATTCTTAATTAATTTGAATTTCAAGTTGTTTTACAAGTATTTTTATTTGGCTCAGAGAGAGTCTCTATAGTTTGTTTGAATCTGGATTCCATAAGGAACAGACTGAGTTAGGTTGATAGGTTTAAAATGCCCATTCACCACTGTAAAATAATTCAGTTTGAGCCAGGCAGTGGTAGCTCACACCTTTAATCTCAGCACTCGGGAGGCACAGCCAGGAGAATCTCTGTGAGTTCAAGGCCAGCCTGGACTACCAAGTGAGTTCCAGGAAAGGTGCAAAGCTACACAGAGAAACCCTGTCTCGAAAAACCAAAAAAAAAAAAAAAAAAAAATTTAAAAAAGGGCTGGAGAGATGGCTCAGAGATTAAGAACACTGGCTGCTCTTCCAGAGGACCCAGGTTCAATTCCCAGCTCCCACATGGTAGTTCACAACTGTCTGTAACTCCAGTTCCAGGGCATCTCACACCAATGCACATAAAATAAAGTTAAATAAATTATTAAAAAAAAATTCAGTTTGCTTTGCCATGCAGTCTGAATTACATTTTTGTTTGTTTGTTTGTTTTTTGTTTTTTTTCAAGACAGGATTTCTCTGTGTAGTTCTGGTGCCTGTCCTGGATCTCACTCTGTAGACCAGGCTGGCCTCGAACTCACAGAGATCCACTTGGCTCTGTCTCCTGAGTGCTGGGATTAAAGGTGTGCGCCACCACCGCCCGGCAGAGTTACATTTCCTATTCGTTTATTTAGTTGTTTACTTTATTTTTTATTTTTTATTTTTGGAGGCAGGGTCTATGTAGTCCTGGCTAAACTTCTGTGTAGACCAGTCTAACCTCGAACCCAGAGAGTCTTCCCTTTGTATTGCCCCCTCCCCTCCCCTCCCCTCCCCTCCCCTCCCCTCTCCTCCCCTCCCCTCCCCTCTCCTCCCCTCCCCTCCCCTCTCCTCTCCTCTCCTCCCCTCCCCTTTCCTCCCCTCCCCTCCCTTCCCCTCCTCTCCTCCCCTCCCCTTTCCTCCCCTCCCCTCCCTTCCCCTCCCCTCCCTTCTCCTCCCCTCCCACAGGGACTCATGTAGTCCAGGTTGGCCTCAAACTCTGGAAAGCCAAGGATGGTCTTGAACTCCTGATCTTCTGCTTTACCTCCCAAGGGCTTTCAGCAGGCGCCACCGTGTGGTTCTGTGTGGTTCTGGGGATTGCTCCCAGGGCCTTACACATGGACACTTCCTTCTGCCTGCGTGTTCCTGTTTGGATGAGCAGTTGACAGAACATGTACACTCACTGTCACACGCCTTTTCCTGAGACTGATGATGATTATCATTTTGACCCGGAAATGAATGACGGGTACTCGGGAGCAGAGGCAGATATCACCGAGTCCCGGCCCAGTTCCAGGACAGTCAGGGCTACCTAGTGAAACCCTGCCTCAGAAACGGGGGAAGGGAATAGCTAGTTGATAACCCCACCAAGTTTGTAAATGTCCAGCTTGCTGCTGGACAGACTTGTGGATGCCATGCTCATGGGGAATTGCACAGCCCCTTGTTAGCAGTCCCTGGCCTGTGGGTGGTGCTGGTGTGAAATGCCCTAGCCGTGATGAAATTGACCTACCCCTTTCTGGTGGGATGTGTTTACGAAATACTTCCTTGCTAGATTTTTTCAAATCCTTTTCTTTTTAGGAAGCCATTCCTTACACATGACTCATTTTCCACATCCTGCTGCCGCTCAGGGTTGTGTCTTTGGGTGAGCGGCTGGTTGACATGTCACGCTTCCTTTGCCTTGCCTAGGTCTGCGATGAGGACTGGCACCACTTTGTCCTTAATGTGGAGTTCCCAAGTGTGACTCTCTATGTGGATGGCGTTTCTCATGAGCCTTTCTCGGTGACAGAGGACTACCCGCTTCATCCAACCGGGATAGAGACTCAGCTTGTGGTCGGAGCTTGCTGGCAAGGTAACAGTTGCTGGCCTCTCATCCCCTGACCTTGGGAACTAACTCACACCTCCTTGCTTATTGATACTGTGTCGGGGATCAGATTCTCAGTAGCTCTCTTCTTCACCCACGTGTCCTTGTATCTGTGTGTAGCCTTTTAGAGGACGGGACTGATGTCATCCATGGTTGTTTAATAAAGGTATGTTATGGACAGCAATCCACCGTCACCCTTCCTGAACCTGAGAACAGTGACACACAGAGGGAAAGTGTGATTCGGAAACTGGCATATAAATCAGTCTGTCTATTGATTATTGATGTCTACAAAGCCAGAATAAGAGTGAACCAAGATACAGAAATGTAAAGGACACAGAAGTGTCCAGGCCTATAGGCCTCTTCCATAGCTCTTAGCCCTTGACAACTTGGTAGGAACCTGGTGAGTGAGGGAGCATTTGGAGTTGACTCTGGAAAGCTTTGCTGAAGGATAATATAATCCCCATGGCCAAGTTGAAAACCACTGCCTTAAACAATATATTGGTTATTTGTGGGGTCTTAGGGAGCCAGTTAAATTGAAATAGTGGCCAGCATACTGAAGGACTGACTCCGTAAACTTGTGCCACGATACCCATGGTGCCCTATCAATGGGTGAGACAAAGCTTCAATGGCAGGGCCAGAAAAGACAGTAAATTTGAAAGTGGTGAAGAGCTTTGAGATGGTGTGTGGATCCCTGCTCTGCTGTGCAGTGATGAGAAAACACCCATGATTCTGCTGGTGACAGGGTCACAGTTACCACCCACTGCTGTGGTTTATGGCCTATATTTATAGCCAAAGGAAATAAGTTAGTGGAAATAAACAGTAACTGTTCTTGTCCAAGTTCACAGCATCAGTCTGCCTCAGAGGGTCATGCGCCCTCCATTGGACCCTTGGACCCCCCACGTCATTTTAGGTCACCGCACTATCACTGTGTGCTAGATGTCCAGACTTGAGATGCCTTTTTCTCCCCATGGGAAGATAATAGCTTGACTTCAGTTAGAAAGGTATAAAAGAATCTAATTCCCAAGACAAATTTGTTTATTTTAGGAGAATTTGGATTTTCTAGTTTCTCTCTAAACTCTTTCAGATACAAAGGAGTAAGCTGGCACACTGGGGTGACCCTCTTCAGCAGGCCCCCAGGGTTACTACTGGTGGTTCACAAAACTGCCTGTGAAAATGAGATGTGAAGCCAAAGGCTGGGTCACAAGGCACGCAGGCAGCTTTCAGCTGATGCCCTGGTTCTTAGGTGCAAATGTGCTGTAAGAAAAAACACAAGCATAAGCCTGAACGAGACTCTGTATTCTGGAGGCTCCTGTTCCGGTTAAACAGGCCACCCTGCACTGCCCGCCTTCCTCGGTCAGCACGATTGCCAATGAATAGCAAGTGCCTTTCATCTTTCCTCTCTTTTGACCTCAGCTCTCGACTTTTTCAACCTGACAGCAATTTCCACACCAAATGAACACAAATTCTTTTTTTTTTTCCTTCTAATTTTTAACATCTATGTGTCAGGGATATTTTGACCTGTATGTACTCCTGTGCACCAGGTGCATGCCTGGTGCCTGTGGAAGCTAGAAGAGGTCTGATCCCCTGGAATCCATGTTACAGATGGTTGTGAGCCACCACAGGGGTACTGGGAAATGAACTCAGATCCTCTGGAAGAGCAGTCAGTGCTCTTAACCACTGAGCCATACTCCAGCTCCTACCAACACAAGTATAAAATTCAGTTCACACAGAGGAAGGTGCCCTTTGCCTTTCAGTGAATGTGGAAGCCGCCTTCTCCCTGCTGACTTAGTGGGAGAGTGGGCCATAGGCAGCAGCATCCCCTCCAACTGTGTTAGAGAGAGATCACAGTGGGTGCATGTGGAGGTGCAAAATGGCTTCACAGGTCTGGCCTCACCCCAAAACACATCTCCACACTTGTTGCATGGGAGATACCTGTAGTGGCCAGTTGCAAGGGAAGCATTTCCTCCACAATGCAGTGCAAAGTATGTGGGCTCTGTGCACAGCCATGGCTGTGTTGTCCACCAGCCAGGCTTCAGATTCCGTGCCTCATCTTCAGCTGTAGAGACTCTGGCTGGTGAGCGCCTAGGCCAGCTGCAGGTTGTTTGTCTGGGTGAGACCCGCAGCCAGCCTCCTTCCAACCATCCTCTTTTCTCTGTCATTTAAAATCCAGGAAGTCCAGGCTCACGTGTTTCCACGTGCCACACTCTGGACCCTGGTTTGGGCCCTCCCGCTTTGTCTGTGTGTTCTGCTTCCCTGTTTGGAGGGAAGAAGACGGTGGTCCAGGAGTTTGTTTACGTCTGCTCCGGCACCACTCCCGGCCAGGCCTCCTCCCGGGAGCGCACTGTAATGTGGGCTAAACAGACAATGAATGGTGTACCTGGTTTTGTCTTCCATCTGAGTCTGGTTTGTGTTCCGGCAAGGAGAATAGGCGATGGTGTATCAAAGAAAAACCCCAAAGGAAGCGTTGGAGGGGGTCACTTCTGGGAAAAGGTCATCAAGAGTAAGCGTGCATCCAGGTGAAACGTCCCGGATGTCAAGAGGGGCTTTGTTCTCTGGGGCTCGTGTTTGGCTACCTCAGCATTTGACTCTGAGGTCCAGTGTGAAGGCCTAACCTCTTGGTCTTTTCTGCTGTCTCTGTCTTGCTTTCCAGAGTATTCAGGAGTCGAAAGAGACAATGAGACCGAGCCTGTGACTGTGACCTCTGCAGGTTGCTGGTTATCCCCCCCCCCCGCCCCCCCCCCCCCCCCCCCGTTCACTATAGTGTTTCCTTTAAAGCTGAGACATTGATTCATTCCACATGTCGCATGAGATGAGCAATTTGCATTTTGATCCTGGACACCATTTCAGCTGCTTGCCTGCATCGAGCTTCCCCATTGCCTCCTGGGACTTCCTTACCTGCCTCTCTCTTGCCCCTGCACACCCCCGTGGGCTGCACTTGTGGGGATTGTAGTGCCTCCAGTCCCCCAAGTCCACTGCACGAGGTGCCTACTACAATTCCTCAAGCTGGGTTTGGGGGCCACTTCGTGGTGCTCATGTGGCTAAGCCACGGGACAGGAAAAGAGTTTCTGTGTTTTCTGATTGATACTAAATTCTGAACAGAAATAGCAATCCCCAGGGATGGCTTGCCATACCAGGCCCTGTTCTTCAGTAATGTGAAAGCGAGTTGTAGTCTGTGGCTCTTTGCTGTGGTCTGTCAAGGTCCACCGTCTGGGGTTACATCTTCCCTGCCTGTCATCTTCAGAGACAGAACTCAACCAGAGAGCTTCCTGAGAGCAGAGATGACTCCATGTGTGAGACGCTCGCTCTGTGAACGTGGAGATGAGAGTTCAGATCCATAGCCCCTGTGTACATGCCAAGGGAGCCTGACACCCACTTGTAATTCTAGTGAGTGGAAGGCAGACCAGATTGCCTGAGGACTAGCTAGCCAGCAAACTCTGGGTTCACCAAGAGGCCTGCCTCAGTGAATAAGGTGGGAGAGCAATGGAGGATGATTTCCAGCATCAACCTCAGGTCTGCCCACACATGTGCACACACACGTACCCAAACTTATATGAGCATGCGTATACACATGCTTACTGTACACATATATGCATGTGGATACTGTACATGTACGAGTGCACACACAAATCTCCCTGGAAGGCCTTCAAGGCTTTTCCGTGGGGACTCTAAGCGGCTCAGAGTTCCTGCCATGCTTATGATCCAGTCTTCCCCCTGCCCCGACTCCTGTGTCCTCAGTCAGGGAAGCATCCCACAGTGTGCTCAGCCAGGTAGGTGGTAGTGGTTGAACAGGCCAGTGCTGAGGAGGTAGTGTCTCTGTGTACCCTGCTGATAGTACCGGGTTAGCCTCCATCATCAGGGAGTGGCCAGATGTATAAAGAGGGGCCCCTGGGCATCCAGGCTCTGGGTGAGGGAACCACCCCAAGCTCCTCTCTTCTCCAGGCCATGTGCATGATCATAAACAATTTAATTTTTCATCGCACTTCATGTAGACTGCAAGGCTAACAGGATTTGCTCTGAACTAACGTGCATGTCCATTCATCAAGCTGCCACCACTGGTAACACAGCCGTGACAGATACCCAGGAGCCTGTGAGCTACGAGCCTAACTTCTCTCCTCCTCCTGTTCCCAAGGTGGTGACCTGCACATGACACAGTTTTTCCGGGGTAACCTGGCTGGCCTCACCATCCGTTCTGGGAAACTGGCGGATAAGAAAGTGATTGACTGTCTGTACACCTGCAAGGAGGGACTGGACCTGCAGGTCCCTGAGGATGGCAGCAGAGGCGTGCAGGTGAGCGCTCGCCTGAACTCACTCTTAGCCTAGCCCGCTAAAAGTGGGGCTGGCAGGGTAAGGCAGAGATGGGGTGAAGGGACTTTTTGTTTTTTGTTGTTTGAGACAGGGTTTCTCTGGGTAGCCCTGGCTGTCCTGGAACTCACTCTGTAGACCAGGCTGACCTCAGAGCTCCACCTGCCTCTGCCTCCTGAGTGCTGGGATTAAAGAGATGCACCACCACCGCCCGGCTGGGGTGGGGGTGAAGGGATTTTATACTATGTAGAGTCTTGTTCATGGGGACTGAAGAGCTCAGTGATGCAGTCCGGTCTGATCACTCCACCACCTCCCATGGCTTTGGCTCCTCATGGCTGGGACCTTGTCCCCAACTCTAGTACGATGATTTCAGATCCACACAAGCTCCAGTCAAGCAGTGTTGACCTTGGAGGGAGACGATGTTGGAGAGCTGGATAAGGCCATGCAGCATGTTTCTTACCTGAATTCAAGGCAGTTCCCCACACCCGGCATCCGCAGGCTGAAAATCACCAGCACAGTCAAGTATGTCCTGATCTGTGGTAATGAATGTATTTCCACTCGCTGACCCTTGGCAGAGTGTGTGTGTGCCCTTGGATTTGCCTTCCCCTCTAAGGGAAGGTGAGTTATCACTTGATCTTGCAAAGCCTGAGTGAGGAATTAAATTTCGTCCGACCATAGTGGGAGGTGCATCCCTGCGGTGGCCACCTCCGTCCACAAGCCTTTGATAGGTGGCTGCCTCACAGCCCTCAAAGCCTTCCCTTCTCTCCCTGCCCCCCCTGCTTCTCTGACAGGTGTTTTAATGAGGCGGCCTGCATCGAGGTGCCTCCAGTTGAAGGCTACGTGATGGTTTTGCAGCCAGAAGAGCCCAAGATCAGCCTGAGTGGGGTCCACCACTTTGCCCGGGCGGCTTCAGAGTTTGAGAGCCCAGAGGGTGTCTCCCTCTTCCCTGAGCTTCGAATCATCAGCACTATCACCAGAGAAGTGGAGCCTGAGGGGGACGGGGCCGAGGACCCCACAGGTAACAGTTGTTGGGCCCTTTTTCTCTGTGGGTTCTGGGAGTTGTAATGTTTTAGCACTTGGCTCTGTTTCTGGAACTTGACTGTGGATGGAGTCTCTACATCTCTTTGGTTGGACATCAGATTTTAAGACGTAGCTTGAGGGCCGGCCCACAGGACAATGTCCCCACCATTCTTACTGGGGACTGACCAAGTACTATTTATTGACGGAGCTGTTTCTGGGACCTGGGCCTTCAGTACGCCAGCCATATACTCCTCCACTGACTACACTTCCAGCCCTCCAAGGCTTGATGGTGACTTCTTGCTTCAGTCCCAGCCTTAGACTCTCTGAGCCTGAGATGGGGCTGGGCATTAGGGTTGACTGGCCTCTGCTATTTCTGGTCGGCCATTTTTGCAGTTCAAGAGTCCCTGGTGTCAGAGGAAATTGTGCATGACCTGGACACCTGCGAGGTCACAGTGGAAGGCGAGGAGCTGAACCCAGAGCAGGAGAGCCTGGAGGTGGACCTGGCCCGCCTCCAGCAGAAGGGCATCGAAGTGAGCCACTCCGACCTGGGCGTGGTCTTTACAGGTGAGGGGTTGTAAAGCAGAGGGTAGGAAGGAAAGGTGAAGGCTCTTGCCTGCCTGCTGTCCGCAGATGTGGACTAGCATTCACTCCACACTGGTGCCTGCTGTCCGCAGATGTGGACTAGCATTCACTCCACACTGGTGCCTGCTGTCCGCAGATGTGGACTAGCATTCACTCCACACTGGTGCCTGCTGTCCGCAGATGTGGACTAGCATTCACTCCACACAGGTGCCTGCTGTCTGCAGATGTGGACTAACATTCACTCCACACTGGTGCCTGCTGTCTGCAGATGTGGACTAACATTCACTCTACACTGGTGCCTGCTGTCCGCAGATGTGGACTAACATTCACTCCACACTGGTGCCCTTCTGCACAAGGAGGGGGGACATGGGGACTGGTGGGGAATGGGACATAGGCAGTGCTTTATGCAGGGTGGCCTGGGCACATAACGACATGTGCCCCTGCGTGGAGAAATGCTCCTACTTGGCGGCTCAAAAAGCCACAAAGGTGTGGCCATTGGCTCAGCTGACCCAAGTACATGACTTTAGCTCCCTGGGCCCCCCTCGGCTCCAGACTTAAGCCACTCACCTTCAACACCCTACAGGTGTGGACACCATGGCAAGCTATGAGGAGGTTTTACACCTTCTGCGCTATCGGAATTGGCACACCAGGTCCCTGCTTGACCGGAAGTTCAAGCTCGTTTGCTCAGAACTAAATGGTCGCTACCTCAGCAATGAATTCAAGGTGGAGGTGAGTCCAGGGTGCCCACAGTAGAACAGGGTCAACAGTAGAAGGAATTAAGTGTCCTGACTCTTGGTCCCAAGGCTTCAGACATTCAACTATATAGCTCAGACCAGGGGCGGCTTTGTTCACACTGTGGTCTGCCGGCAGGGTAGATATGCAGACTTGGAGTGGCTTGGAGACCTGGGAGAGAGGTAAAGAGTGAGTGTGTGTCTTTAGGAGGGACAGGGTCGTTCCTTGGGTTCCATATGTGAAAGAACCCCCAGGGAACCAAATGGTCTTCGAAGCTGTGTCCGATCACTGACCCTGTGGAGAGTAAAGTTGGGTCACTGGCTGGGTGTGCTAACATGGCCGTGGTCACTCTGAGGTCACAGCAGCTGGAGGACAGTGCACTCCGCTCTGAAACCTCCAGCAGCCTCTGCTGCAGCCGACTTTATCGACCAGAGCCTCTGCGGTCTGGAGAAATGGACTCCGTTGTTCTGAGCAGTCCACTGTCTCCACCATGACCTGAGTGGTGGGCCGAGGCTAAAGTTAGAGCGCGGACAGTGTTTTACTTGAGCCAAAGGGTGGCTGGTTTGAAAAGCGACAAATGGTGATTCGTGCTGTCTCTCCTCTGGCCAGGTTAGGGGAAAGTGGTCTGTGCCGGGCATTTCCAAGTGATCTGGGTTTGTTTTCCTGGCTGATGCAAATGTGTTCTTTTATAAGCTACACTATAAATAAATCATTCAACAAGCACTGTTTGTGGGATGTGTGACACTGTCACACTGTTAGACCAGGTGACAGGTTCTTACTGTTGATTTATTTTCTGGTCACTGGCGTAACCCTGTTTGTTCCCAGCCTGGAGGCCTTGGCGCAACCAGCACAGCTTTGCCAGTGACTGACTCCATGTTCACCTGTCAGGTATACTTGGGATGCCAGCCTTAGTGATTTCTCTTTGTCCACTGCAGGTGAATGTGATCCACACAGCCGACCCTGTGGAACACGCCAATCACATGGCTGCCCAGCCACAGTTTGTCCAGCCTGAACATCGCTCCTTTGTTGACCTGTCTGGTCACAACCTGGCCAATCCTCACCCATTCGCAGGTAGGACTGTTGGGAAGAACGTGAGTCAAGATGCTGTGGCGCCAGGTGGTGGTGGCACATCTTTAATCTCAGCACTCGGGAGGCAGAGCCAGGTGGATCTCTGTGAGTTTGAGGCCAGCCTGGTCTACAGAGCGAGATCCAGGACAGGCACCAAAACTACACAGAGAAACCCTGTTTCAAAACAAACAAAACAAAAAAAATACGCTATGGCATCCAAGTAGGGTCCAGATGAGTACCCCCCCCCCCCCCCCCCCCCCCCCCGCACCCTCCGACTAAACCTGGCTGTAAACACAGCTCACAGCCACTGCTGTCACATATAGAAGGGAGTTCACCACAGCCACCGAGCAGGTGAGCAAAGCCCGGCTGCTGTGGTGTTTCCTCCTAGTCTCTGAGGGTCAGGGGAAGCACTCTGGCACATTCATTCCGACCTCAAGTAGTTGAGGAAGCCAAGGATGGGATTGCTCTCCGGATAAGCAGTGTCACAAAAGCCGCGTCCGGTCTTCGAATCTCTTGGCAGTTGTCCCCAGCACGGCGACTGTTGTGATTGTGGTGTGTGTCAGCTTCCTGGTTTTCATGATCATCCTGGGGGTGTTTCGGATCCGAGCTGCGCATCAGCGTACGATGCGGGACCAGGACACCGGGAAGGAGAATGAGATGGACTGGGATGACTCTGCCTTGACCATCACTGTCAACCCCATGGAGGTAGGTGCAGGGGCCCTGACTGCCAGGCGCCGCAGAGACCCGTGGAGCCATGGCCCCTTGAATCCTTGTACCCTGTGTCGTGTTCCCTGCACATTGGGTCTGTGAGATTAGGGGGTCCTCCTCAATTGAGGAGGCTGGCTGAAGGTCACACTGATTAGCATAAGTAGGCAATTGGTGCTCTCTGCTTCTTCACCCCAAGATGTTTCTGGTGTAACAGGACTGAGCTTCATCCCTCAGCATCGAGCACCTCTCCCTAGTGCATGGATTCCGAGTTGCTGATGAGCGAGCGCTTCACCTGCCCTGGTGCTTTGCTGGAGGCAGCTCCCAGCGCAGCCCCCAGTGCAGCTCCCAGCGCAGCCCCTAGTGCAGCTCCCAGCGCAGCTCCCAGCGCAGCTCCCAGCGCAGCCCCCAGCACAGCCCCCAGTGCAGCCCCCAGTGCAGCTCCCAGCGCAGGCCCCCCGCGCAGCTCCCAGCGCAGCTCAGCCCTTCTTGTTTTTTTCCTGTGGCTTCTGGAAGGTGGACATTGGGTCATGGGGTCACCAGCTAGACTTAGACCATCATCTCTTTCCCAGACATATGAGGACCAGCACAGCAGTGAGGAGGAGGAAGAGGAAGAGGAGGAAGAGGAGAGTGAAGATGGGGAGGAGGAGGAGGACATCACCAGCGCCGAGTCAGAGAGCAGTGAAGAGGAGGAAGGCGGCCCCGGGGACGGCCAGAGCGCCACACGGCAGCAGCAGCTGGAATGGGATGACTCCACGCTCAGCTACTGAATACGCGCCACGACACCTGCTCTCCAAAACCCTCTCCTAGCCATCTCCCAGCCCCACGGGTCCACGATGTACAAAATCATTTCGGCCAGCAGGCCTGCAGACCCCTCCCCCATCGCTGAACATCCGCCTGTGCTTGGTGTGTGGGACCATAGGCTCCACCCTCCTCCCTCCCAGCCCATCACCCTCGCAGTTTTGCTAGGAGCTGGCACTTCCTCCCTGGCCGCATCTGGGTGCAGTGGCCCTGCAGCACCTCAGACCCCATATGTGGCTGGAGTCCCCCGTCAGTCGAGGAGAGGACACCAGCACCTCCAGCCTCCAGAGAGGCTGCGATGACTGGGCTTGCTGACAAAGCGTAAAAATTACTCCCACCCAGTAATCATTTTTCTTCTTTATTTTTAAAAGTTTTTATTTTTTTCCAAACTAGTGCATGTATAAAGTGGGAGAATGGGGGTTACTATGTAGATGACCAACTGACTTTTTAATATTTTGTAAATAAATTGGGATTCTCTGTGTCTTCTGTGCTAGTATAGTCCAGGACAGGAATGTAAAGTGAAGTCAGAACACAGGCCCAGGAGGAACTCTCCTCCCCTCTCTTCCACCTTCCTCACAAGAAACCAGGTTGGAGAGGTCCAAGTCACTGGGGCCCGTGCTGGGGTCTCTGTACAGCCATGTGGCCAGGGGCCACAGGCTTTGAGTGCTGCTTAGGGGACCAGACCCGAGCACCGACCACACTGGAGGCTGGGAAGAGCCAGGTAGTAGCCAAGGCCCCTGGCCTCTTACACTCCTGTGGCTGGCAGCCACCCTGCTGTGCAGCCTTGTGCTTTCTGCTCATTAAATGTGTCTCCCTGTTGGTGCAAACCTGTAGCTCACGGGAACTGACATCAATTCTGCGAGACAGTCAGGCTCCTTGATTTGAGGACAACAGGCCTGAGCACCTCTACACTACAGCATCCAAAAGGAGATCCTGAGGCCCAAAGACAAAGTGCTAGAATGTTCCAAAACAGTCTGTTTCCTCTCCTCCCCGGAGGCTCCGTGGGATGCCCCCTTGCTGTCCTGGTGTGGGGTGAGACTCAAGCCCCAGTAGTTAGGAGTCTTGCTGCTTGGTGGAAGGGTTGGAGACAGCAGTGTGGCCCCACACAGCACTCAGCTTCTCATTTACAATCAGTTTAGACCTCTCCAGCTGGGGACCTCCGGCCCTTGCTGCTGGTTTGAAGGATGCTGACGGCTGTGCTGTCTGTGGCCGCCCTCCCATGTCCTGCCCCTGTAGTTGTTTTATTAGACGATGGAAAGAGGCTAATGCGGAGAGGGACATTGTCATGTGTCGGTAGCTGCAGCGTCTGTCTGTCCGTCCCCTTCAGTATGTGTATATTGACGCTAGGTCGGGAAGTGTATGCACTATAATAAAGTTCTGGTTCTAACTCTAGCCTGAGTGGGATTTACTCTGTCACTTTCTTTTTTTTTGGGGGGGGGGCGAGTATGGTTGAGACAAGAAGATCTGTTATGTAGCTCTGGCAGGCTAGCCTGGAACTTCCTGTCTAGACCAGGCTGCTCTGGAACTTACAGCAATCCTCCTGCCTCTGCCTGCTTACTGCTGGGATTACAGGTGCCGACCACACCTGTGCCACGACTTGTTTTGGTTATTATGGTATGGAAGAATGCATCCAGCCTCACACATATCCCCAGCCCGGCCCTGCTGCTTTTTGAGCCGAGAACGTAAGAACATAAAAAGGCTTTTATTTCTTTTCACCTGTCTTTACCGATCACATCCAGGTTGCACAAATGTCTCAGCCCACGTCAGTGAAAGGAAACCCACTTTCCCCACACAAACATGAAATGACTTAAAAAAATAGAAAATATTCTCATAGCCAGGTGTCCAGACCATACACCCAGCTCAAAGGCTGAACGCGTGCAGTCTGCAGCCACACCAGGGAGCACCTAGACTCGCTTCAATAAATAACGATGCACGCGCACGCACGCACACACACACACACACACACACACACACACACACACACACACACGCACGCACACTTCCTATCTCAGAGGTGGTGGGGCAGACGGTTCCAGCACTCCTGTGAACTAAGCACACGCACACATGCACACACGCACGCACACTTCCTATCTCAGAGGTGGTGCGGCAGACGGTTCCAGCACTCCTGTGAACTAAGCACACGCACACATGCACACACGCACGCACACTTCCTATCTCAGAGGTGGTGCGGCAGACGGTTCCAGCACTCCTGTGAACTAAGCAGGTGGTTTGTGGAGGTACAAACTGCTGCGGGCCCCTCTGCTCGTCAACACGGGAGAGTTGGCGCCTGGCCTCCTGGAGCCGTGTTCTGGGCTTCTGGCAACACAGCAGTGACGGTTCTCAAGTCTCAGAATGCTACCGAGAGATCCAGGCCCTGAGGTGGCAGCCGACGTCAGGATGTGCGCGGGACAGCACAGTAAGCACATGCTGTACCCTTGAGCTGTGTCCCCAGATCCCTGAGCGTACCTCGCTCCACTGCCAGCGTGGCTTTGGAATGCCCGGGAGGAGGCTCAGACCTGCATTTCTGGAGTCGCTCTGATCCATTCCTTTTCAAGGATAAACACCCAGGCTACTTTCATTTCGCTCTTGCCCTCAACTTCAGAACCTGGCTCCCCAGCTGCCTTTCAATGGGACAGCTCCAGGAGAGCTCAAGCCTGCCCTTCCACACAGCTGCCTTCGGGTACGGCTCACACTCACTGCAGAGAGGACTCCATCCCAGCTTGCCTTGGTCTTGACTAGTGACCACACTGGACTCAATCGCTCGCTGGTTCTTGAGTGTTTCGAGGCCTGACAACCATACATAGTGGGGCGCAGGTCCTTCTTCCCAGCCGTCAAGTTCTGTACATAGTTTGGCTATCATTTTCTTACCGGAAATAAAAGGTGATGGTGCCCCCATACCCAAGAGGTCACTTCAACAGTGCAGAGCAAGTGTGCCTGAGTCTAGAGGGTGCCCTGGCTTCCTCGGGAGCTGCCGTTGGAGGCTTGGTGGGTGGAGGTTGCCGAAGGTGAGCCACACAGAGGTGGCGGAGGTGAGCTGAGGACTGAGGTGTCCTGTCTGGATGGGAGGCACCAGGTGACTTCCAGGCTTGCTCCAGGCAGGCTGCTGGGGAGCCTGGGAGGAAGGCCCCAGGAACTGTCTGCTGGGCCAAGATCCACAGGTTGGAAGACTAGGGGTGTAATCCTCAAGGCGCTGTTTACAGTGCTGACGGGGTGGGGTGGGGTGTGTCTCACGAGGACCGCCCCTCCCCTCCACAAAGACAGTTCCGTTTATGGCTGTTCTGTTCCTTAAACATTTTGAGTCATAAATAAATAACCAGTGTAAACAAGAGGCAGTTGTGTGGTTCTTCTCCACGAGGAACAGTGCCGGTGTTGGGGTCTCTGATGACCACTGAGCATGCCTGGCCCCCAGAACTGACTGTTTAGCTCTAGGCCTGAGAGCCGAGGGAACCGTGAGGCGACCAGGAGTGGGTCCCTTATTGCCTGTTATCCTTGGACACATTGTGTGCCAGCCAGTTGACTTTGGTTTTCCAGCTCTCCCGTAGGGCTTCGTTGAACTTCACCCGGAAATGCTTCAGTGCCTCTTCCTCCGTCTTCCCTAGTGCCAGAGAGTCCTGGACAAACACCACAGCAGGGCGACACTGAGGGGCCCTGCTCTCTCTCATATAATCTGTACTGAAGCCTAATGGGCTGTTAAATCCTCTCTGAAAGGGAAATCTCTTTACTCGGACTCCAAGTCCTGATGATCCACTCACCCCACCCATTGGCTCAGATGCCAGAAGCCTTGCAATGCTAGCAGGCCTGGATGTTCTGGGCCTTCAGGGAATGCCCTGGCCAGCTCTGTGGCCTGTCACCACCTCTCTCTGCTCCACTTACCACAAACTGAGAATGTGGGAAGGAAGCATTTTTCTAAGATGTGGAAGAAACCTTAGCTCACACAGATCACACACGAGTGTGTGTGTGTGTGTGTGTGTGTGTGTGTGTGTGTGTGTGTGTGTATGTATGGAGTGAAGGCACCTGTGAGGGACATGTGGATTAACTAAGGTAGGTCACCACATCTCAACCCAGCACAACTAAGTCCAGCAAACTGGACCACGCTGGCCACTTCCCACCAGACCCCACTGCAAAGACAAGGATGGTGTGAGGCCCCCACCAGCGTCAATACCCCCAAAAAGTCCACCAGTGGGGCCCTTCTAGGACCCAGACTGCCCAGGCAGGCCTTGGGAAACAGAGCCCTGGAGTAGGTCCTGACTCAGCTCTGGCTTAATCTACTGTGTTCATTAGTTTTTTATCAACTTGACACAAATTAGAGTCATCTGAGATGGAGAGATCACTGAGGAAATGCCTCCATCAGGTTGTTAAGTTTGTGAGGCATTTTCTTAAAGACTGGTGTGGGATGGCCCAGCCCTCTGTGAATGATGCCACCCCTGGGCAGGTGGTCCTGGATTGTGTAAGAAAGCAGGCTGAGCAAGCATGGCTTCTGTTCCAATGCTCACTTATTTATTTATTTATTTATTTGTTTGTTTGTTTGTTTGTTTATATTTTATGTGCATTGGTCTTTTGCCTCCATGCATATCTGTGTGAGGGTATCAGGTCCCCTAGAACTGGAGCTCCAGGCAGTTGTGAGCCACTATGTGGGTGCTGAGAATTGAACCTGGGTCCTCTGGAAGAGCAGTCTGTGCTCTTAACCACTGAGCCATCTCTCCAGCCCCTCATTGCCCACTCTTGACTTCCCTTCATGATGGACTACAACTGTAAGCTGAAATAAATGCCTTTTCTCCCCAAGTTGCTTTTGGTCATGGTTTTTATCGCAGCGATAAGAACCCCATAAGGACACTTACCTTGAGATACTGGATATCTTTGGAGCAGCTAAGCTCAGGCAGACCTGCAGCACGCATCAGGGCAAAGAGATGGAGGAAGAGCAGCCCATGGCGCCGCAGGATGGTGTAGGCTCGTTCACAGTAGCCACGGAACCTGCACGGGAGGGAGACGGGGCAGGTGAGGTCCCGGATTCTCTGTAGCACTCCCAGCCTGAGGCCAGTGGGCCTGTTTCCCAAGCTGCTGCTCCATGATGGCTATACGAAAACCCCTAGTTCCTTGGGCTGACCTCCTCACCCTGCCTCCTACAAAAGACCACCCCCCACAGGAGGCACCAGGAGACAGCTGTCTCTGTCCCTGTCCCTTCACCTAGGGACCCTGTTGTCCAGGGTGGCAGTGCCCTCACCTTTCAAATTTCTCATTGTTATTAGTCTTCCCCTGCTGGATCACGTGGACAAAGTCATAGGTGAGGATGAAGGGGACTCGCTCCCGGTTGATTCCAAACTTGGTCTTGAAGTTCCCCAGAAAGTGGCCAAAATCAATGTGGAACAGCTGAAGGGGAGGGAAGGGCACAGAATGAGAAGCCACAAAGGAGGAACTGGGGTGTGGCTCAAGAGTGGAGCTCTAGCCTAGTGTGAGCTAGTTCAAACCCCAGGAACCCAAGGAGGAGGAAAAAGATACAGCAGAGAACAGAACTGCAGTTCCTCAGAGTCCCAGGCGGAGGAGACACCTGGCGGGGCGCATAGCATCATCTGGGATACTGAATACAGGGCAGAGGGGCCAGCAGGCCAGGACCGGACATTAGTCCGCCCATGGGGAAGCCACCCACCCACACCTCCCTACCTGCCCACTCTCTCGGATCATGATGTTGTCGCTATGTCGGTCACCAATGCCCAGCACATACGTGGCCACACAGTAGCCAGCACAGGAGAGGGTGAATTCCTCGATGGCTCGATCCAGGGCCTCCCTGAGTGGGGAAGATTGAAGGTCATGACCACACCGTACTGCCGCCCTCACCTTTCAAATTTCTCACTGTTATTAGTATGTATGCTAAGGAGGTAGAGTATGCTTCTTGCCTCTGAGTCCAGCCTTTCAGCTTGCTTTACTCAACAGAACGTAGAATACACTGTTCCAGAGCCTAGGCCTAGGCTACCTTCCTGATCTTGAACCTGTCTCATGAGCACCATGGGGAGAAGCTGGGGGCTGACCTACTCTGTGAGCAGAGGCCAGGAGGAGAGGTAGGGCTCCAGGCATTCAGTGGAATCCATCTTAGACCCTCCAGCCTTGGCAAAAGTCCCAGATGGTTTGAGTTGTCCCAAACGCATGTAGAATATCCCAGGTGAGTCCACTTGAGCCCACTCAGAATGGTGGCTGTCCTGAGGCCTTAAGCTTGAGTGGCATCACACAGCCACCGGGAACCGGCACATGAGGACAGCCTTGCTGACTAGAGAAGGTCACAGTCCTCCCTCTTACCTCGCCTCTGACAGGCTGACCCTTCCCACATCACACCTCCCAGGAAGGAGAAGACCTGGAACCTACCCAGGGTTCTTGGACTTGAGCCAGTTGAGCAGGGCGTCCTTGTTGAAGGCAGCTGTGGCTGCCATGTTGCTCTTGTTCAGCTGGATGTTGGCAATGGTGTCCGAGTGAAGAACCACCTCAATGAGGCCTGTGCGGTCTCCAGTGGGGAGGCAGCCATAGGGCGTCATCCTATGTGCAGGGGAGGAGAGCCGACAGAACATAATGACCGAAGGCTGTCCCCGGGGAGACACTGGAAAGAGCCACAGGGGATGCCACACCCAGGTTGCTGAGAAGGGGAAGGACTTGGGAGGCTCCAGCACTGGCCCCCAAGATGATGAGTGGGAAGAGACTGCTGCTTCCTAAGATGGGCAGGAGGCCAGGAAGTGCAGAGGGAGCAAGGTGGACGCTTGGAAAGCCTTCCCCGCCCTCTCCTAGCTTTCCGTTGTCTCCCTGTACTGAGAACAGCCCCTTCCCCAACTGACACAGCAAGGATAGCTTTGCTGCCCTTCAGGATGGGTCCCCACCTCAGGTCCAGGCCCTCCTGCTTCCACAGGACGTCCATGAGCTGGATCATCTGCAGAGTCAGCATGTCCTGGCGGAGGTCTGTAGCGTGGGAAGGAGGGAGACCCCAAGTGTCTGGGAGGTTCTGCATTCCCTAAGGGTGTGTGGGCCCTTAGGTCCCAGGATACTTTCTCAATTCATTTCTCCAGGACCACCCCTCGGGACAGCACAGGGATGGATAAGAAGGCCTCGGCAGGTTCCCCAGCCCGCCCGCTCACCATCGCCGTTCTTAAAGATGATGCCCACGCTGCCAGCACTGCCCGCCTCCTCGCTGCTGTACATGATCCACAGTGGCTTCATCTTGGAGTCCATGAAGGTGCACTGCTCCACACTGCCGGCCAGAGAGTGAGGTCCACAGGTGCTCCTCCGCAGGCCAGAGGGGTGGGAGGAGCCGCCCTGGAGGGGCCAGGCATGGGGCTCACCAGACTTCCTCCAGCAGGGTGCTGGGGTCCAGCGGAGACTGCAGGTGGGACAGGGCCTCCATGTAGGTCTCCTGGCGCATGCACATATGCATCATCTCCTTGGTCTGGGGCTTGGTGGTCTTCTGAGAGCTCACCTTCACAAAGTCGTTCAGTGCCTTCAGCTTGCTCAGTGCTTCCCCCTGGTGGTAAAAGTGGTAAGACACTGGTAGGCGCCAGCCTCTCAGGTGGGAGGATGGTGTGGGAGAGGGGGCGCAGCATTCTAAAACCTGGACTAGAGCCTGGCCAAGCCTTACCTGCTTCATCAGCACCTTCATGTGGTGGGTACTGCCTCTGCAGTAGGCCTCCATGATGAGGCCAAATCGCAGGGCCACGGATGGTACATGCATCTCAGAGCTGGAAAAAAAAATGGTACTAAGTCTTGCCCAGTTCCTCACCACACGTCCCCTCCTCAGCCTGTGTGGCACCCAGAGCACCCAGAACATCTGGGCCTGCTAGAAAGGTAAGGTCAGCAAGCCTGAGGTCTCCCTTCCCTGTGGCCCTCATGGGGTTTCCAAGGAACAGGCTGGGGTGCATTCAGCTACCGGAGGTGCCAGAAGAGGAAATGGCCGATCTTGCGGTTAGCCAGGGCTCGGTCCAGCAAGAATTTGGTCAACTCGCAGTCCAGGTAGGACTCGTATTTGAGCACCTGCACAAGCTGCAGAAGGTACTGGAAAAGCTCATCATCCCTGTGGAGAGAGGGGGCTGATGGTCTCCAGCAGGCAGGTGGCAGGGGCCAGGTTCATCCCAACCCAGCACCCACTTTTGGGTGGTTGGGGCAAAGCTGTCTTCTGGAAGAGAAAGGAATCTGTGTCCCCAGAGGCAGCACCCAGCCAGGACTCACGTCAGCTTCCGCAGGGACTTGATGGCGAAGGAGCCCACATAGCAGTCAGGAAAGCTGAAGTCCAGCAGCTCCAGGGCGCTCAGCACAGGCAGCTCGGGCCAGGAGCACAGCAAATAGAGCATCTGGGACAGCTTGGTGGTCAGGTGAGGGGTGGGCGGCAGCTGTCCATCTGCCCCGGGCTCTTTCCCCAGACTCCCCTCCCTACTCACCTGGGCCACATCCTCATGTTTATTCCACTTGGTGACCAGGAGCAGGCGGGCCAGAGACTCTGGGAAACGCTCCTGGACTTCATGCCGCAGCTTCCACACCAGGTCCTTCTCATGTTCATACAGCTCCCCAGACCCCCTGCGCTCCAGGATCTCCCGCAGCTGCAGCTGCTGAAGGGTACAGACTGAGGCCTTCAGCTCCACACCTGACCCCAGCTCCGCCCTCCAGGACCCAAACTCACCTCCTCCTCTGTGATGCGCCCGCGCTCCCCGTGACGCCCCAGCTCCAGGATCTGCAACAAGTGTCCGCTGTCAACATCCTGGGCATGGGGCAGCCCCTGCAGGGCCCCAAAGCAGGACATCTACACCTCAGACCTAGCACTTGTCATTCTCACGTATGGTAACCGTCTTGTGCACTGCACAGCCCCCATGAGCATCCTAGCTTGTACCTACAACACGCCAGGAGCATCTTTCCCACACCAGACGTTACCCGATGGCGGCCCACATGGCTCTTGGAAACCCCTGAATTGGCATAAGATGTATACCCTAGCAACGGACAAATCCCAGAAGTGGCCAGGGTCTACTCTTTGAAGAACTGTAGAACTGGGGTGAGAAAGGTCTAGACACAATGGTTCTCAACCCATGGGTCACAACCCCTTTGGGAGATGAACGACCCATTCACAGGGTCACCTAAGACCATCAGAAAACGTAGATATTTGCATTACAATTCATAACAGTAGTAAAGTTATGAAGTAGCAACAAAAATAACTTTATGGTTGGGGGTCACCGCAACATGAGGAACTGTATTAAAGGGTCACAGTATGAGGAAGGTTGAGAACCACTGGTCTAGAAGGACAGGGTCCTCACTGACCTTCTCCAGGGCAGGGAAGTACACGGGATGGGGGGCCACCTCAGGCAGGCAGATGACCAGGGCCGCAGCACTCTCTGTGTTGGGGTTGCTACGCACTGTACCCGCAGGGTTCAGCAGCTCTCCTTTCTCATCTGAACACAGGGACAGATGGCGTTGTATGTGGAAGGTCCCTCGCTTTGGGACCTCCACCCATGCTAGCTGTCCCCTTGGGGCCGGGCCCACCTGGGACAGAGGGCCACATATAAAGGCGGCATTCCCCAGTCTTGAGCTGGTCTTTGTAGTCGAAGAGCATGAGGTTGGCCCAGGCGATGGGGCAGTCCTAGGGAAGGACACCAGTGGGTTAGGGCCAGTCACAAAAGCTCCCTCTGGTCATCGCAGAGTCGGACAGACCTGAAGGCCCCGTGGGAGAAAGGAACTGGGCTCCAAGGGAGGACTCCCAGGAGGACTCAAGGGAAGACCCTGTTTGGAAAGAGGGAGGACCACCTGCCTTGTCCTAGTGACAAAACCTGCATGGCCTGTGTCCCTGATCCTGGCTCAGAGAAACTAGAGCCAGTCCAGCACTTGGCTCAGCTCCCAGTGCGCACCAGCAGGACAAGGGCCAGTTTACATACTGGAAGTGTGACGGGGGACCTGGCCACTCAAGGCAACAGCTGCCCAGACCCTTTAGTCCCACTGAGGACACTTTCTACCCAGACAGCTGCCTGCAAAAGCCTACTGGACTACAGGTCCAGAGCGGATATTCCCAATCTATCCCTTTAATAGGCAGGAATGCAGACTTAGCAGAGGCTTAGTCCTCAGTCTGCCTGCCTGTGGGGCACTGCAGGGGGGCCTAGGTTCCTCCCAGTCAGCCCCACTCACTGCCTTCTTGGACTTCTTCTTTGTAGAGCGGGCCTTCTTAGCCTTCTCCACAACAGCATAGAGTGCAAAGCAGAGCCGGGCCATGCGCGGCAGGTCACAGACGCTGATGTCGAACTCCAGCCGCTGTTTCCACACGGGTTCCGAGCACACGTTCACCTCTGAGCTGGACACTGTCTTGCACAGCATCTCATTGCCATGGAAGAGCCCGGCCTGTACAACCAGCTGGGGTGGGGAGGGGGGCCAGACAGAGTAAGGGGAGCAGGGGCCCTGGGCCACCTCTTCCCTCTCCTCACCAGCTTCTCCCACCAATGTTCTCCCCAAATGTCCTCATTCTTAAGTAGGTCTGAATCTACTTCCTCATGGAATGGGGGGGGAGGGTGTCCCTCAGAGGGAAAGCCACTGGCCAAACAGGACAAGAAGTCGTGGGGCGCCACAGTGGTGGTGCATGCCTTTAATGCCAGCACTTGGGAGGCAGAGCCAGGTGGATCTCTGTGAGTTTGGGACTAGCCTGGTCTACAGAGCGAGATCCAGGACAGCCACTAAAACTTCATGGGGCATGGAGGTCACACAGACTGTGCATTGACAACTCAAGGCATTTCCCTTCCCACTCCAGGCCTCAGCTTCAACAGGAGGTGGTAATTCCACAGCTCCCTGGCTCTTACATCCTGAGGCTCCCTGCCTTTGGGAATCTTATGGGATCCTAGCCAGGTGCACCACCAGTTAATCATCCCGACACAGGTACCCAGCCCTCCAAGCTTGTAAAACTACAGCACTAGGAAGGAAACCCAGGCTCTCTGTGGGCTTCCCAGTCCACAAAAGGAACAGTAACACCTCCACCTGGAGGGCAGTGGTGAGGAAAGAGGATGTGAGGTTTGTGTGAGTGTGTTTTAAAAGCCAAAGAGCGTGGAGCCCCTACACTATCTTCATAACCCGAAGGGAGCTCAGGCCCCAGGGGATGAGACAGCTACCCGGCCATGCTTGCCCTGACCAGATGCAGCCAGCTCTTCCTTGCTCCTCACACCTCCCCAGACACCTCTTTCATCCCCACAACCTCCACCAAAGTCAAATACGCAGAAATCGGCTCTGCCCGGTTTCCACGAATCAGTCTCTGGCTGGCTGGCCCACCCCACTCCCCTCTTCCTGTTTTGAAGCGGCTTACAACCACTCCAGTCAGGGACGCTGGGTAATGTGGTCAGGTGGCTTTCGTGTGACATCTTCCCACTCCTCTTCCGCTGCCTCCCCTCCTGGCCACAGCCACCTTGTTTGTATAGAAAACAGTGGCTCCCTCACCTGGCCCAGGAGCCCCTACCTTCATCCGCTCATCCGCATTCACTTTGCTGCCCTCGATCAGCTCAATGCAGAACGGCTGCTCTAGGGACCACAGGGACACACAGGAGGGCTGGGGAAGCAAGGAGGCAGGGTCCCAACACTGTCTTTTACCAGAACGCCTGCTGTGCAAATGCACAAGGGCCCCCAGATCCACAAGGGGACAATGGAGGTTCCCCGCAGTTCACACAGATCCCAACAGGACACTGGTCACCCACCAAGGGCCCCTGAGCCCAGACCCTCCTGCTGTGCCTCCCAGCTGACTGTGGGACACTGGGAAGGAAGTACATTGTCTCACCTTCTTAGCAGGGATTGGGGGAGGTTTGGTGCGTGGTTTCTGGACTTGGGGGGCAGGGTTGCTCTGCTCATCCCGCATGGCGAGGATGGAGGAGGAGTGGACCATGGTCAGGTGGGGGGTCAGTCCGCTGTGCAGGCAGCTGCAGATGTACTGGGATGGAGGTGCAGGGTGAGGTGATGATGGGTGGCCCCCTCTCATTTCCTGGACAACTGGCTACCAGGAACTCCCCAAGCTGATACTACCTATCCCAAACCTCAGGAGGGGCCGCCTGTTGGTTCTCCCTAAAGATGGGGTCCCTCCACACAGAGGACCAGTTCAGCAAAGGGGATGCTCTCGTGGTGACTACAAAGGCCTGCCTCGTCAGACTCGAGAGAGGCTAAATCCCGTTCCCGTGATGCTCCCGGGGCCACATGCAGGTGGCAGGGAATGCCGCGCCAGGGGCTCACCTGGAACTGGCACAGCGGGTAGCTGCCATAGAGGTACTCATGCCTCCCGTTCACCTGAAGTGCATAGTCTTCAGGCTGCTCCACCAGAGGCTGCCGGAACACTGTGGCCTTCTTTCGGAGGGCACTGGCCATCAGTGCCAGGGGCATGTCGTTGGTGGATACCTGGAAGGTGAAGCTCTCCTGTAGGGAGAAGGGTGTCAGCCTTCTGCTGTGCAGTCCCTGTGGCTTCTGGGGCAGAGAGGCAGGGCTGCCTGTGAGAGAGCCCCACCTCTAAAACATGTCTGGGTGTTCACTGATCACGGCATCCCAGGGAACACTGGGAGGGGGGTGGCTGACACCATCAGGTCACTCTGCATTGTCAAATCTGTCTGGTGAGGGACAGGTCTTGTTGAGTATTTGCTGCTCTTGCAGAGGACCTGGGTTCGGTTCCCAGCACCCACATGGTGGCTCACAACCATCTATAACTCCACTCCTAGGGAATCTAATGCTGTCTTCTGACCTCTGTAGTCACCATACATGTATGTGGTACACTTACATACCTGAGGCAGAACATTCATACACATAAAATAAGAGTAAAATAAAATAAATCCAAATTTGCCTGGTGAGACAACCAGCTAAGTCCTTTGGCATGCACGGGGCCCTGGCGAATGCCATCTTATGCTATTGGGAGAAGGGACAGGGAGCTTTGGATGACTGGGGAATTTTACAGGAGGAAGTCCCTCATGGGCATGGCAGGCTGGATGAAGCACCCAGGCTAGCACCCCTAGGGTTTTGAAGTCACGGCTCACCCCACTGCCCGCGAACTTCACATTGACCAGCAGGGCTCGGTTGGTGACGCGCAGGATGCCGGCCCGCCAGCTCCTTGCTGAGGGTTCCAGCTGCGGCGGAAAACTATACTGCAGCCAGTCCTCCCAGCCCAGCTGCTGGCGGCGAGCAGCAACCTCTTCACAGAACTGGCGCATCTTAGTGCGGAAGTCATTCACTTCCGGGTCCCGCAGGGAATCAAACTCGTGGAGACCTTTGGGGATGCAGGAGGAGGAAGTCAGCACACGCCGGGCCACCTGCGGTCAGCCTAAGCAGCCCCTATCCCCAGCAAGTATACCTTTGCCAATGAGGAGGCTGATCTGGGAGTTGATGAGCTTCTTGACGCGGTCGCCCTCTCGGGCCACCAGCCGCAGCACCGGCAGGAAGGGCTGGATATCACACAACCTCCTCTGCTCATCCTCCAACTCCTGCTGCTCGGCTGTCTGGTTCACGCAGGTGAACACATAAGCCTCAGGGTCACTGAGCATGTGGAAGAGAGGCTCATACTGTGCACGATGCCACAGCACCTGGGAGAGAGGGTCACAGTCAGCCCCTACAAGGCACCCACAGAGGCAGAGGGAGACCCCAAGAAAACAAAAGCTCACCCCTGAGGACTGGCCACATGCCAATAAACTTCCTGTCTCTGTGCAGGGTGTCAGAGTTTGCTGAGACTGGGAGCTGGGCAGTGGGTCCTACATCTCTTCCATGCGGTTCATGGATGACCTTTGACCACCCAGAGGGACAACCAGGTGTGACTTTTGAATACCCCCAGATGATCCCTATGGATATCACTATGATCACTCACTTTGTAGACCTGGCTACTCATCAACTCCTCATTCCTCTGCCTCTGCTTCCCAAGTGCTGGGACCACAGGCATGAACTGCCAAACTAGAGTGTTTTATATGACGTTTAGAGCCAATATCAAACTGTTACAATGTCCATTCAGAAAAAAAAAAAAGAGAGAGAGAGAGAGAGATACAAGGGGGCTGGAGGGATGTCTCCGAAGTTAAGAGCACTTGTTGCTCTTGCAGAGGACCTGGGTTCAGTTCCTAGTACTCACATGGCAGCTCACAACCCCCCTGGAACTCCAGTTCCAGGGGACCCAACACCCTCTACTGGCCTGTGCGAGCACTCAGCACACACATAGCACACATATGTATTTGCATGCAAAAAAAAAAAATCATACACATTAAAAAATCTTTTAAAAAAGAGAAAGATACAAAAGCTCATCATCAGAATTGTCCTAAGACTCAAAGCACAGATCCAAATGGAGTTGGGGGCTGAGGAGACGGCACAGCAGGTGGACACACTGTCACCAAGCCAACAACCTGAGCTTGATCCCCAGAACACACATGATAGGAGATGCCAGATCCTGCAAGTTGTTCTCTGATCTCCAAATGCATACCATGGCATATGCATGCCCACACACATACATGAAAGATGCATACACAAACAAATAAATAAATGTGAAGTTTTAATTAAAAAGCAAAGCCAGGAACTAGTCCAGGTGTTGACGGTAATTGCCTCATACGGCTCAGTCACAGGTAGTTGTTTTTTTTTCTTCTTTCACTATTTTAAAACATTCTTTGATTTATTTATTGTGCCAGAGGAGGCCATATCTACTGGTGCAGATGTGGAGATCAGGGGGCAATTTAGAGGAGCTGGTTTGCTCCTTCCACCATGTGGGTTCTGGGGATCGAACTCAGGTCTTCTCACCAGCCAGCCTATCTGCTTCCTTTCCTTTTTTGAGACAGGAGGCCAGAATGTCCTTGAACTCACTGTGTGGCTGAGGATGACCCAGAACTTCTGAACTGCCAATCTCCCAGTCCTGGGATTACAGGTGTGTATCAACACATCTGGCTTATGATGTGCTGGGAATTGAACCCAAGGTAGCGTGCATTTTAGGGAGGCCCCCTAACCAACTGAACTACACTCCCAATGTCCTCTTTCTTATTTTCCAAAATTTTAATGTGTATACATTGTTTTCATAGTGGGGAAAAAAATCAGTATTAAAGGAAATCTCTCAGGAAAGCAGGGGCCACAGACTTCAACAGCTGGCTTTCTATCTACGGCTTTTAAAATTCTGAGGTAAGATCCGGGGTGTGCTGGCGCATGCCTTTAATCCCAGCACTCAGGAGGCAGGTGATCTTTGAGTTCGAGGCCAGCCTGGTCTACAGAGGGAGTTCCAGGACAGGACTACACAGAGAAACCCTGTCTGAAAAATAAAACCAAACAAAAATTCTGAGAGAAGCTCTCAGCCTCTGGTAGCTCAAAACCTAACGCAGTAAACGCCACACTTAGCAGGTCACACGATCCCTTGCAAAGTCAGACAGAAACTACCAAATGCAATCCAGATGGGTGTAATTCATTAATCCCCCCGAAAATGATTCAATAACACCCAAAGCCCTTTCCAACAACGGTGCTTACTGTTGTGGTGACAGCTCGGAATAGGAAAAGGCCACAGGCCCTTAAGCGCTGTAGATAGAGTGGTCAAAAATGACCACACAGTCACGGGTGGATGAGAGCCCAGCCAGAGGCCGCCTGGACCCCGGCTCGAAATCTAGCAATCTAGTGAAGGGAAGTGCACGCTGTCAGAGGGGAAGCTGACTTTGGGATGATAAGTGGAGTTTAACCACAAGTTTTTAAACAATTCTTAGTCATTTTATCTTGTAAAATTCACATCTAAGGGCTCAGGGCGATAGCTCAGTTGGTAAACTGCTTGTCTTGCACTTTACCTAAGTCAGTCACTCAGAACCCACAATGGGGGGGGGGGCTCGAGAGATGACTCAGCGGTTAAGAGCACGGGCTGCTCTTCCAGAGGACCCGGGTTCAGTTCCCAGCATCCACATGGTGGCTCACAACCATCTGAAACTCCAGTCTCAGGGGATCCAAAGCCCTTTTCTGGCCCCTGGTGGGCACCAGGCATACACATGGTGGATACCCATACACATAAAATAAAAATAAGTCTTTTTTCTGTTTCGTTTTTTTTGTTTGTTTGTTTTGTTTTTTGTTTTTTTTTTTTCGAGACAGGGTTTCTCTGTGTAGCTTTTGGAGCCTGTCCTGGAACTCTCTGTGTAAACCAGGCTGGCCTTGAACTCACAGAGATCTGCTTGCCTCTGCCTCCCAGGTGCTAGAATTAAAGGCATGCGCCACCACTGCTTGGCAATAAAAGTTAGTGTTTTGTTTTTTTTTTTCCCCTCCGGGATAGGGTTTCTCTGTGAAGCAGTCCTGGCTGTCCTGGAACTTCTCTATAGACCAGGCTGGCCTTGAACTCAGAGATCCGCCTGCCTCTGCCTCCTGAGTGCTGGGATTAAAGGGGTGTGGCATTACTACCCGGCAAAATAAGTAAATCTTAAAACAGAACAAAACAGGCAGCTGGGTATGATGGCACCCTTCTGGAAGCCCAACGCTGAAGAGGCCGGGAAAGGTAGAGCCTCTGACTTGTTGGCCAGCCAACCTAGCCCTACTCCAATGAGATCCTGTATGAAAAAACCACAAGAAAACAAAAACAAGGGGATGGACCCTGAAAATGACAGCCTAGGTTACCCTCTGGCTGACACACATGTACACAGTTTACCCCCAGGGATTCTGTGCCGAGCATCAGGGTTCGAGGTGGAGGCTGTACCTGCTTGATGGTGCTGAGGTTGGCATTTCGGGACACCGGGAAGTTCAGGTAGACCCCTGTGGGCAGCAAGAAGTCAACAGCCACGCTCTGGTTCTCCTCTTTGGTCCAGAACTCCATGGGGCAGTCCACCCCAGGGGGCATTCTGTTGCCTTACTGCTCTGAGGCCTGTTCTCCTGAGGGAAAGGCAGAGACAGAATGAGCTGACCCTGAGGTGCTGGGCAAGGACTTTGGAAAGTGGGGTGGCCAGATCTGGGCCACAGAATGACACACGGAGCTTGCCAAACACACACACACACACACACACACACAGAGAGAGAGAGAGAGAGAGAGAGAGAGAGAGAGAGAGAGAGAGAAACGACTTTAAGAATTTATAATATCTGTCATGCCAACCCCTCCGTCATCCCCTGCCCCCACCACAGTACCACAGTACCAACAAAACATTACAGATAACGGGACACAGGATGTGTGTGTGTGTGTGTGTGTGTGTGTGTGTGTGTGTGTGTGTGTGTGTGTGTGTGTGTGCCACCCACACTCCAGTCACCAAATCCCTTCCCACCACCAGCAGCTTCTCCCTTCTAGGTCACCACAACCTGGAATCCAGCCACTTATCATTCTTACGTTTGTTTTTATATTCTTATTGCTAGCATGTATCCACAAACAATTCCTAGGATTTTCTGCATGCTTTAAACTTCCGGTTAGTGAGTTGCCCAGCACAGTGAGATGCGGACAAACCCCGTCTCGTGCACGTCTTATTCAAGTAACCTGCTGCCTCTGGGGCTTCACGGATGCAGCGGCCGCGTCATATCAAGAAAGCATCATTTCACAACCTCCTCAACACTCTCGGGCTTTCACAGTATTTCTGCTACCCCCACCACACAGCCTGGGGTGGGGGTGGGGATGCTACAGATTTCCAGTTTCAGGCTGAGCAGTAGCAGAAGGGTTAATGTTTATACAACCAAATTTGTTCTTTTTTTTGGGAGGGGGGGAACAGGGTTTCTCTGTGCAGCTTTGGTGCCTGTCCTGGAACTCGCACTGTAGACCAGGCTGGCTTCGAACTCACAGAGATCCCCCTGGCTCTGCCTCCCGGGTGCTGGGATTAAAGGTGTGCGCCACCACCGCCCGGCTTTGTTCATCATTTTATGTGTTTTTTTTTTTGTTTTGTTTTTGTTTTTGTTTTGTTCTGTTGAGACAAGGTCTCACTGTGTAGACCAGGCTGGCCTCAAGCTCACGGAGATCTGCCTCCCTCTGCCTCTTGAATGCTGGGATTAAAGGAGTGCACCATTGTACCCATCCAATTTTTTTTTTTGTTTTGTTTTTATTATTAAGAAATTTTCTATTCATTTTACATACCAACCACAGATCCCCCCTCCTCCCTCTTCCTGCCCCCACAATTTTTATTCTTTAAAAAAAAAATGTTTCTAGGCTGAGAGTGTGGTTCAGTTGGTAAAGTATTGCCCAGCGTCCACAAAGCCTTGCGTTCAATTCCCAGCACCACATGAACAAACTGGGTTTGGTTGTGTACAATATTACTACATTGCAAGTTCAAGGCCAGCCTGGACTACAAGAGACCCTGTCAAAAAAAAAAAAAAAAACGAAAAGAGAAAAGGAAAGAACACATGTTTAGCATGCTTGAGGCCATGAATTGGAGCCCAATACCAAAACAAAACAGAACATTTCCGTGCCTACCACAAGGTCACATTCTTCTGGACTGAAATGACATGTTTGGTTCATGAGAGCTATCGTTTAAATGGCGGTACTCACAGGGCTGGGCCTAACTCACTGGACAGCAGCAGCTAGCATCTGCTCCATGCATCACGCTGCCTGCGGTGCCACCCCCGCTGCCGCTGGTTGCCACTTCCTCTAAGTGCGAAACCACGTCCTACTTGGGGTTCCTCTTTCTGAGGCCAAAGTCTTCCTTTTTTATTTAAAATGGGGGAGGGGGTGAGGTCAGGAATCTGAGGAGTTACATCTATAATGCTAAGCATTCTTTCCAAGCTTGGGAAGTCAGGGTGCTTTTGGTCACATGAGCACAGAGGCCTGCATTTCTGAGGACCCTGAGGTCTGGGTCTGAGGAAAGCAAACACTTTGCTTTCTTGCCCCTCAGCCTTGTGGAAAGGAAGGTTTCAGCTGCATTACCCAGATGGTGGTAGAGCATTAAGTCTATAAACCTCATTCAACCATGGGGAAGACCCCGTGGTGTGCATAGCCCATCATCGAGACAGGAGAAAAGGGGAACCCCTTCTCTCTTCCTTAGAAGAAGTCTAGAACCTTCCCTTTCCAGTAGGATGTGACAGAGAGAAGAAGCAAGTCCAGGGACATTAGAACTACTCCAAGAGTGCACACGGTACAGCCACTGAGGCAAACTGTCGGGCTTTACTCAAGTGGAACATGCCTGTACCCTGGGACCAAGGCAATCATAGTCTATGCCCAGGCACACACCCAACAGAACTTGAGTACAGACATTGCCAAAGACACACATAAGGGTTTAAAACTGTGGTGATATTTTGTTTGTGATCTAACAAATAAAGCTTGCCAGAGTGTGGAGCTAAGCCACTAGTTAGCCATAGAGGGCAGGCAGTGGTGGCTCACACCTTTAATCCCAGCACTTGGGGTCTCACGCCTTTAATCCCAGTTCTAGGGAGGTGGAGACAGGAGGTGATATGGCTGGGCAGAGAGAGGAATATAAGGTGGGAGGAGACAGGAACTGTGGGCCCTTTTGGCTGAGGATTTCGTAGAGGTAAGAACTAGCGGCTCTGCTTCTCTGATTTTTCAGCATTTACCCTGATATCTGACTCTGGGTTTTCATTATTAAGACCACTTAGGATTCATGCTACATGAAGCATCATTGTACAGTCACCCCACAGGACACTTCTCAGGTACAGATCAGTGGCAGAATGCAAGCTATCCTTTCCCAATGGACTATTAGGTGGCAGCAAAGAATCTACAGATAGACACAGTGATGATGATGCATCTCATGGACAGAAAGCTGAGCAAAAGAAGCTCAGAATGAGCCGGGCGGTGGTGGCGCACGCCTTTAATCCCAGCACTTGGGAGGCAGAGGCAGGCGGATTTCTGTGAGTTCGAGGCCAGCCTGGTCTCCAAAGTGAGTTCCAGGAAAGGCGCAAAGCTACACAGAGAAACCCTGTCTCGAAAAAACCAAAAAAAAAAAGAAGTTCAGAATGAAAACAAATACATGTTCAAGGCCAGCTTGGGACATATGCGACACTGTCACCAAAAAAAAGATATTCTCATGACCCAGGCTTGCCCTCCCATGGAGTCTGTCCTCCATCATCTCTATCTCCCGAGTACTGGGTTTGGAGGCAGGCACCATCATTCCCTGTTTCTGTAACGATGGGGAGGGAACTGAGGATTTCTCCCTCTCTCTTTTTGAATATTTTTGAAATATGGGTATGTGTGCATGGCTGTGGTGGGTATGGACACATGAGTGCCTATGCCCTTGGAGGGCGGAGCCACCAGATTCCCTAGACCTGGAGTTACAGGCAGTTGTGAACCATTCGAATGGGTGCCAGAAACTGTAGTCACTTAACTGCTGAGTCAGCTCTCTGCCCAGCTCTCTGGCCCCCAAGCACCAACCCTCCAGCCCCGACCCCAGGACACCTTTGAGCCTCTAGATTGAGCCTCTCAGCCACACAAGCAGCCAATTCTGTTCCTTTTAGGGGAGTTGTTTTAATTTACAGCATTTGAATTTTTTTTTTTTCATTAGCCAGAAGGCAGAGGTGGATGAATCTCTGAGGAGCATTCAAAGCCAGCCTGGTCTACATAGCAAGTTTTAGGCCAGCCAGGTAGACACAGGAAAAGCCTGTCTTTAAGACAATTAATTACACCAGGCAGTAGTGGCGTATGCCTTTAATCCCAGCACTCGGGAGGCAGAAGCAGGTGGATCTCTGTGAGTTCAAGGCCAGCCCGGTCTACAGAGCAAGTTCCAGGATAGGCTCCAAAGCTACAGCAAAACCCTGTCTTGAAAAGACAAAACAAAAACCCAGAAAAGTAATTACATTTGCTTATGTATTATTTGGTCTCGTGTTTCTGTTGCGCTGCGTTACTCCAGGCACCATGATCAGGGAGCCCACAGCCACTTCCCCTCCTTCCAGTTCCCACTGCAGGTCACTTTTCACATGGCTTCCAGGGACCCAAACTCAAGGTGCCAGGCTCACATGGCTGTCACTCCTACCCACCAGACCATGCCGACCACACATCGTCGGTTTCTCTGATACCTCCTCCAGAAAGCATCTTTTTCCATGAATGAAGCAATACCTTCCCCTTTCACTCTTTCTGTCTAGAAAGTTCCTGCCCTGCAAGCTGGCTGCCTCCGACAATTTCTGTGCCCTGCGCCGTCATCCGGTGATGAGCCAGAAGGGTGGGTGAACCAGCTTAGACAAAGGGTCAGTGGGGGCCAGGATTGTCCCAAGTCACTGGGAGAGGAGTCACTGCAAGACAGCATGAGCAATTCGCAAACCTCAGACAGTCCTGGCTTCTCTGTCTACGCCTAAGTCACTCGGGAGTATCTGGGAAAGCTTCACAGGACCTGGCTCCGTTCTTTCAACCTCTCCAACTGGTGCCACAGGAGCCACAAAATCAGCTATGGGACAGCACTATGATAGATCTCTGAGTCTCCCATCAGCTTTCCCGGATGTCCCAAATCAGTTTTCTCTAGCCCAAGATGGACATGTAGGATCTGACCTCTGAGTCCTAAAGATCCAACAGAGATGGAGTCTGGGGAGAGGCTCAGCTGCCTTATAAGCCTGAGACCCTGAGGCCTCCTCAGACCCTACAGAAAAAGCTGGGCACAGCAAAAACTTGTAATACCAGAGCCGGCAACATGGGACGGGAGGGGGCAGCAAAACCTGGAGCTCAGGGGTCAGCTGGTGAAGTCGCCTGGTGAAGCTGCTGGTGGAAGCCTTCCTAGGGAACACCCCAGATTGTCCTCTGACTTCCACACACATCTGTGTACATGTATACATGCGTGTGGACACATGTACAGATCCAGGAGAATTTTCTCCAAAGACTTCAACAGACATACCTGGGCTACTCTCTCAGGATCCAGGAATGCTTCAGGGGCCCTAGGAGGCTTCAGGGAGGCCTGCAAGCAAGGACTGCCCTGGGCTGGGAGCCTTGCTGGCTGGAGTCTTGGTCCAAACTTGGGACTCCTGGG